TTAATTCGAGTTAGAGAGATCAAAGAGACAGCATTTCCCCCTGTAATGCCGTTTGCGTTTTGGTGCTTTCACCATGTTCCATTGGACTGGGGGGGACGTCTGATTTGTCTATCGTTGCGGTGTCTCTGTGTTAAAACTGCAGAAGGAAAGCGTTTTGCAGACTCCCGTGCTAATTTGGGGCACGGCTAGGGAAAGGGAGAAGAGGCTGGAGCAAACCCCTGCCAATCCCTGCTCCGGGAGGTGAGGAGGGGCGCGATGCTGGGGGTGGCGAGTCGTCCCCTCTGCTCCTCTCTCTGGCCAGGAGGGTTCTGCAGCCTCTGGCATTGGCCGTGACCGTTGTCTGTCACGGGCTCTCCCGGGCGGGAGAGGTCGCTTAGGGGGAGCAGGGCAGAGCCCGCGCCCCTGCGGGGCTGGCACTGGGTCCCAGATGTGGCCAGATGTGCGGCACACCGCTGGCAGCGCAGGGGGAAGGGAGAGTGCGCGTGTTGCAGCAGCTGCCTCGGCTCTAACAGCACTTCAGGGCTAATTGGGAATAATTTACGAGTACGCCTTCATTTATGCAACTACGATTTCTGTTATGTGGTCAGTTGTAACCTCTGTGGCCGTGTCCAATGTCCCTTTAGTTCAGCCTGCAAAGTACTCTTTTCTAGGGGAAGAAAATAAAAGCCATATTTATTAATATTTTCTATATAATGCAGGAGGAGGTCCAGCCTTCCTAACGCACCTAACAGTGGATCTGGGAAGGTTATTTTGTACCTGACAGGCAAGCAGGGCTCGGGGGTGTGTTCTACTGCTCACAAGCTGCTGCTGCAGTTTCTCTCAAGCTTGGTGTTTCTGCTTCAGTCCTCATTGAAAAAAAATGAATATTATTTAATGAAAGAACAGTAAATTGCCGTAAGTCAGGAAAAGGGGTTTGGATTCTGGCAGGTTTTGTTTTTCCTTTCCATTCAGTGCCCTTGTCCCCGCGCCGGGCGCACAGCCTGTACCGGCGGCGGTTGTGTTTGACAGTGATGGATGATACACGCCGAGGCTCAATTAGCCTATTAATAAAGCACGATCTAGGCCACGGTTTTCCAAGTTCGCTACCTAAATCTGTATTCGGGCTCATAAACGAGCGGCCTCGTTTCCCGAGCAGCAGCCGGTGGGGCCGGTGACCACCAGCAGCTCCCAGCACAGCCGAGCCGGAGGCTCTTTGCTCCGCGTCCCCGGATGCAGCTGCAGCAGGGCGGTGGGCGAGGGGGCTGGGGGGCCCGGGTTTGGGGGTGCGATGGGTGGGCGCCCAGCGAGAGCAGCAGCTGACCGGGACCTGCCGATTCCCAGCCTTGGGAAATGAATGTCTGCGGGAGGGAGCTGGGGAGGGCTGCGGGGCGAGGTGGGCGGTCAGCCCGGCCAGGGCTGGGGTCCCGGGGCTGCCTGCCTTGCCAGCTGAGGTTGGAGCTGAGCACTTGAGCTCAAACGCCGGGTTTCTGCCCCCCGAGCTGTGCAAAAGGGGCCGTGGGCGGTGTGGATGGCCCTGGGGTCCCCTCCGTCCCTCCTGCGCTCCCCACCGTGACTGGCACCCTGCTCCTCTGCAGGGTGGTCGCTGCTGGGCACCATCCGAGGATGCTTCTGGTGCACGGGGCAGCGCTGAGGGTGGCTGTGCCTGCGGGTTGCGCGGGTGCCCATCCTGCGTGGGTGCCCATCCTGCGTGGGTGCCCATCCTGTGTGGCCGTGATGCACCGAAGCCTCACGGGGCTGGTGCCCATCACCCCCACCCAGCGAGGGTCCAGCCTGCAGGGCAGGCGGCAGCTGAAATATGAGTTTCGATATCTGTGTAGGGAAAACAGAAATCTTCCACTTATTCCTGTGCCGGGGGCATTTGGACATCACAGCAAGGGTAGGTGGGGGGTTTTGCTGCTGTCTGGCCTGGGGAGGAGGGGGGGATGCAGGAGGGGAGAGCAGGCAGAGACGATTCAGGTTTTAGCTCCGCGCTGCCGGAGCGTTGCTGCCCTTGGCTGGCAGGACTCGCTGCCTGCGGGGAGTCCTTGTTTATGGTCTCGGCACCTCCCGAGGCCTGGGGTGGGTTTGGCAGGACGGCTGCCTGCCCAGCTCCCCAGCTGTGCTGCAGCGTGCTTCAGCTGCCTCTGTGCAGGCTCTCCTGGCACCACTCTCAGTCCTCTCCTGCTACTTACCACCTTCTTTCTGCCTTCAAGTCTCCATTTCCACAACAAGGAGAGTTGCTTAAAAAAATCGGTACTAAGCTGGGGAAGGGCGTGAGTCAGCCGAGCTGAGCCGGGATCCAGCGTGGCTCCCGGCCAGCCGCCGTCCCCAGCTGCAGGCTCTGCGAGCCGGCTTTGCCCGCTCCGCTGTATTTTAGCAGCAGGATCCAAGAGCCCAGCGCCGTCTCACTTCAGCGCGACCCAGGCGAGGCTCGGCGAGCCCTTGGCTGCATTCCCCTGGGGTGGGGGGAGCCCGGTGTGTCCCCCGCCCCGAGGAGCTGCGGTGCTGGAGCAGGATGCTGGCCCGCTGGGGCTGGTTCTGGTGCTGGTTCTGGGCTGGTTCTGGTGCTGGTTCTGGTGCTGGACTGCAGCTCCGCGGGTGTCACAGGTGCCCTTGGCACACAGCAGTGAGCTGGTGGCCGTGGTCGGGGCCGATCTCGAGCGGCGGCTTTCGATGGCACCTGGTGCCACCGCAGCGGCTGTGGTTGTCACATGCAGCCGTCTCTCCGATGCTCCTTGGGGGATCCCCCCTGCGATCCCTCTCGGGGGATCCACTCGCAGGAAAGCGAAACCTCGCTGCTGCCCGCAGCGTGTGAGAGCAAAGCCGCAGACCTTATTATTGGCCCAGAGAGGTTTTGCAAACGGCAGAGCAGGAGCTTCGTGTCCCACAGCCACTGGTGCGGCTGGTGCAGAGCCCGAGCGGGGCTGCCGTGTCAGGGTGCTCTCATGGGGAGCACCCAGCTGCTGCAACTTCATCTCCAAGCTGCCTAATCAGACAATCACAGGGTGGTTTGGGGTGGGAGGGCACCTCAAAGCCCCCCCAGTGGCACCCCCTTGCCCCGGGCAGGGCCCCCTTCCCCCAGCCCAGGGGGCTCCCAGCCCCGTCCAACCTGGCCTTGAACCCTTCCAGGGAGGGGGCACCCACAGCTGCTCTGGGCACCCTGGGCCAGCGCCTCACCCCCCGCACAGGGAACAATTTCTGCTCAAACAAAGCTCTTCTGGAGTCAGTTTTCTCTTGCATGTGCACGGCAGCCCCCAGGAACATGCCTACAAGGCTAATGGGGCTGGGGGGACTCTTGCTAATCTGCAGAGATGTGATGCTTCTGAGAAGGTTGAACGTTCCTGGCGGGGGGGGGAGAGATGTAGAGTTGTCTGCCCACCCCCGAGGACTCGGGCTGTGGCTGGGTGTCTTTTCACACTGTGTTTCACAGTGCATCACTCACTGCATAAAAAGCTGCCCTTGGCTGCATCCCAAACAGATCCCATCAAACACATTTGCCACAGGAGGGTTTTTAAGGTTTGACTTGAGCTTGGCTGATGTCCCAGCGAGTCCCACCCGCTTCTGCGAGCTGGGGGGTGAGGGAGGAGAGAGCAGGGACTTGCTCCCAGGGCCGTTGGGCTGTGCAAATCAGCCCATGCCCTGGGGGGGGGTGGCTTGAGACAGCCCCGGGGGGTGGAGGGGGGGGACATGACACATCACCCGAGGCTGCAGGAATGAACCTCAGAGGCAGGTGGATGATCCTCTGCATTGCCTCTGGGTATTCTGGATCCTCCAGGTATTTTGGCAAGACAGGGGCCCCATGCCCAGAGCACAGAGCCCGGCGGGGGGTGCAGGTGGCAGAGTGAGGGGGGTGCTGGGGTGCTCGGGGGGGTGCAGGTGGCAGAGAGAGGGGGGTGCTGGGGTGCTCGGGGGGTGCAGGTGGCAGAGAGAGGGGGTGCTGGGGTGCTCGGGGGGGTGCAGGTGGCAGAGTGAGGGGGGTGCTGGGGTACCACCGCAACAGCACCAGCCCCCGGGCAGGGGTTGGGGCACGGTCACCAGTGGGATTTCCAAAGGAGGCTTCACGTTCGAGCCCATCATCTTCTGGGGTCAGCAAAGCCCCGTGAGCATCCCCTGCCCCTCGGCCGAGCGTCGCTGGGCAGCACCGGGGTCTCCCCTCTTCCTGGTGCGGGGCCTGTCTGTCCGTCCTTCCCCTTCCTTCTGTCTGGGCTGGAGCCGGAGCGGGCGCTGCCTGCCCCGTGCGTCCCCCCCAGCCCTTTCCTCTGTGCTGCACGGCCGATTCTCCCGCTGACTTCTGTGTGCGGCTGCCCAAGATGCTCCACCAGCCCGTGGCCAGCGCTGCAGCAGCGGGGCGAGCAGGATGGGGCCCCCTGTCATGGGCTCCCCCCGCACGGGCCCCGGGGTCACCGCATCCGAACGCCTCGTCGCTGCCCCGGTGCCTGCCAGGCTCCCGCACCCAGGGCGAGTCGCTTTAGCAGCGGCGTAATTGCAGCCTGAACTTAATGGCTCTATTTATTTAAAATGCAGAGACATTTATCGTACCGTGCCAAGCCCCAGGAACGGATTAATGCCAGACCCGTGGGGTTCCCTGATTGCAGGGGCCTGTGTCTGCTGGGTGATTATTTGATCAGATAATGCACGTGTTAAATGTATTTGTCGGGGAAACAGAAACCTGTGTTATCTGAAGGCGGCAGCGGCGGCTGTTGGGAGCAGCCTTTGATCTGCAGAGACGTGGTGCTGTAAAGCAGGTCCCCCCGCATCTGCAGGGGAAAGCAAAAGCAGGTCCCCGGAGCAGGTCCCCCATCACCTGCAGCCTGAGGGTGGGTGGCAGCAAGAGCTGCAGAGCTGAGGGGCCAGATCCTGCCAGCGCATCCCTGTCAGCCCGGGCACCTGGGGCTGCTTGCTCTGCCATAAAGCGGCACAGACAGCAGCGTCCAAATGATTTTACCTCTTCTCCCTCCCCAGCGGCAGGTGAGGGGGTTTCCCAGGGCAGCAGCACCTAGGTTAAGCTTTTCAGAAATACCTAAAATACTGGGTTTGATCCCGAACCTGACACAGACTGGGAGGACCCCACTCTCTGCAAGTGCTGAGCCTCGGGGGGCGAGACCACCGTGGAGGGAACGGCTCTGCTCAGCACAGAGCTGCTGCCCCAGGACCGATCCTGCGGGTTCACAAATTATCCGGGTGTATCTGCGTTCTTGTCCATGAGAAAAATGTTACAGTGGTCGATTTTAAATTGGATGGAAAATTTTGGAGCAGTTCAGTTGCTGTTGTGTAAGGGGTTGGATATACAGCATTGCAGAGCTGTGTGCCTGGTCTGGGTAAGTCTCGTTTGCTGGTAAATCATGCCTTGTGGGGGGGGTCTATGGCCTTTGGGGGCACAATTCTGGAGAGCAAAGGAAGTGTTGAACCAGAAGAACCTCAGTATAACTCCTTATTCTTCTTGCTTATTGCCGTCAAGCCTTTAGCAGGTAGGAAACCCACCTCTGGATAGAGTGGTGATGCTATTTTTGACAGAGGGGATGCACAGCCCATCTCCAGCAGCGACCCCCGTGGCTGGACAAGCTGTGAGTGGGGTCCTGGGGGGCTGTGAGGGGGTGTCACGGGGATCCTGGCACCCCCGGCTCTCTCGGGTGCTGCATTTCCACACTAAATGCAGGAAAGACCACGGTGTCCTGGGCCCAGCACTACTGTGGAGCCTCTCACAGTGCCCCAGACTAGATGCATGCTTCAGTCTTTGCAGCGCTGGAAATCAAATTTTTAATAATTTTGACATGCATCAAATTTTATATCTATAATACTTTGGAGTTCTCCATTAATGTCCCATCTAGTGCTGTCTGTAAGTTGTACTGGCACACAGGACTTTGTAAAGCTGTAATTCTCATCGCCAGGCACTCCCACTCTCTCCAGTCAGGGTCTGGTGGTCCCGGAGAAAGTAAAAAAAAAAATCTGTGGAGTCCCACTGCCACGGTCCACAGGGATGCTGAGTCCCAGGAACAAGGAAGGGGGAAGAGTTTTTCCTAAAAGCTCGGCAGCAGAGAAGGGCAGAGAGGAAACGTGCCGGAGCGAGGCTGGTCGGCGCTGGCCTCACGTAGTGCCAGCCCGGGGAAGGGCTGTTCACCAGAGCCAGAAGAGAGGAAAAACACTGAGCTGGGACCCGTGGCCTTGACCCCGGCGAGGCAGGCTGGCAGGGCTCACAACAGCACCGGAGCCCTGACCTTGCTGAAAACAAGGGCTGGGCAAACGGACCCCGAAAGTCACATCCCCCCCGCCTAACGCTTCACTGGCACTCAAGCTGCAGGGTCGTTCCCGGAGAGACCTTGGTCACGGTTTTCTTGATGCTTTTAAAACACCCTGGGTGTTTCGTGGTGTCCAGGCTGTGCTTGGGGAGGTCACTGTTCCGCTGCCCTGCTCGTGCTCTCTCCACGAACCCCATCCAGGCAGCTTCTGCCCACAGCCGCCCAGACACAGGCTGGTTCCCCAAGCAAACACGGGTTTTGGTGGGTGCTGCGGTCTCCGGCCGAGCCCTGGGCAGCCTCAGCATCCCGCCTGGGTACAAACCACGGGACTCTGGACGGGGATGGGGACAGGGACCAGTGCGCTGTGGGGTCCCGCTCTTGGGCTGCCCCTCGGGTGGGGTGGGAGATGGTTTCTGAGTGGAAAATACCGCTGGTGAAGCATCAGGGAGGTTGGTGGGATTCGCACCGTCCTTGGGGTCACCCTTCACCCCCACCGTGTGCCCCAGCTCCTCTGCTCCACCACCTTCCTCCTGCCACTTTGCCAATGAGTTTCTTTGTCTTGCAGAGAGATGCCAAGGGCCAGAACCTGTTCGACCTTCTCTGCCACCACCTGAACCTGCTGGAGAAGGACTACTTTGGCATTCGGTTTGTGGACCCCGACAAGCAAAGGGTGAGAGCTCTTCCTGCCCGGGCCCGGTGATGGGGTTTCTTGCAGCTCAGTGGTATCACACTTGTCCTTGCGGCAGCTGAGAACCAGAGCGTGAGGCAAATGGGCTTCACAAAATTCGGTTTAGGCAGCGATGAGGGCTCTTCCGCAGCGGTTCCCCCGCTGCTGCTGGGTGAGGGGGGGGGTTATGGGTGCCCCGACGGGGTCATTGCTTTGTCTGTGGGAAGAGCAGCTACTTACGGCCCCCTGAGCACCCTGGGGAGACCCCCCTGCCCCTTCCCCCCGCTTCCGCCAGAGCCGGGGCTGCGTCTCGTGCTGCAGCCCCGGGGAGGGGGGGCCGGGGTACACCCAGGCTCCAGTCGGGATGTGTGAGCCGGAGGGACTCGCACGGCTCTCGGGTCCCTGCGCGAGTGGTGAAAGCGTCTCGCGTTTGCAAAGTGAGAGGAGGCTTTGATGCCATCGCAGAGGCGAGGAGGGAGACCTGACACTGGGTTTGCAGGGCTATTTCCAGCACGGCGTTGCTTTTCAACACCAAGATTAGGCCACGCGACAGCTTTGCGCCGGGAATCCAAACACTTGTGTGTGTTGCCTTGGGCAAGGGAGAGTGAAACAAGACACGGACCTCCGCGGCGGGACCTGCTCCCACCCAGCAGTGTGTATCCCTGCAGGGTCCCACTGGCTCTCGCCACGGTCCCAGCCAGCCAGGTTCCCACGCAGGCGTTGTGTGAGTGAGTCCTGCCGCTTCTTCCAAGTTAACTCTCCGTGCTCCTTTTACAACGTGCCGAACGCAAGCGCTGCGAGCGCGCTCGAGGCTGTGACGAGAAGCTGCGGACGCGCTCGCAGGCGCGGCTTTCAGCAGCAGCCTCGGGCTGCTCTTCCTGCGGGTCAGTAAAAGCCACCCGAACAGTTTCTGCTCCTCAAAGCCCCTCCTGCCACGGCCGTGCAGGGAGCAGCCACTGTCGGGTGAGGAGCTGGACACAGGGCTGCTCCCTCCCTGCGGGGAGAGTATGATCACAGAACCACAGGGCGGTTTGGGGTGGGAGGGACCTCAAAGCCCCCCCCAGTGGCACCCCCTGCCCCGGGCAGGGCCCCCTTCCCCCAGCCCAGGGGGCTCCCAGCCCCGTCCAACCTGGCCTTGAACCCTTCCAGGGAGGGGGCAGCCACAGCTGCTCTGGGCACCCTGGGCCAGCGCCTCACCATCCTCCCGGTAAAACATTTCTGCCTTAGATCTACTCTAAATCTCCCCTCTTTCCATTTAAAACTGTCCCCCTTGTCCTACCCCCACCCCTGACCCAGAGTCCCCCCCCACCTCTCCTGTCCCCCCTTTAAGCCCTGGGAGGCCGCTCGAAGGGCTCCCCGGAGCCTTCTCTTCTCCAGGCTGAACCCCCCCAACTCTCTCAGCCCGGCCCCCCAGGGGAGCTGCTCCAGCCCCCCCAGCATCTCCGTGGCCTCCTCTGGCCCCGCTCGAGCAGCTCCGGGTCCTTCTGCTGTTGGGGGCCCCCGAGCTGGCCCCAGCACTGCAGGGGGGTCTCCCCAGAGCGGAGCAGAAGGGGAGAATCCCCTCCCTTGACCAGTGATGCTGCTGCATCTCGCAGGGTCTCTGGACCATCACCCCTCCATGTCACCTGTGCCCCTCAAGTTGTGTTTGCTGCGCTCTCTCGCTCCCAGCTTCTCCAGCCTTCTCCCAGATTTGCCTCCTGGCCGTTGCTGTCAGGCTGATGCAGGGGCTGTGGGTGGGCTGGGTTTGCAGCGTAGCGATGGCTCTTCAGCGCTGGAGAGCAGCAGTTTCCTTGTGTGATGCTGAGGGACCGTTAACTGCCACCCCACTTGTGTCGGCTCTTCGTTTCCCTGCTTTTCGGTGAATCGCCTCTTCAAACCCATGTAGAAATAAACCCCCGTGCATGATGCATTATTATGCATCATCTCTGTGGGCCCAGTCGGTGGAGGGAGTCTGTGCTCGCCGAGAGCTCAGCACCGCGCTCTGGGAATCCCCTCGGCACAGTCACTGCGTGGAGGAGGTGTAGGGGGGGGATTTTTCTCGGAGCATCTTCTCTTGCAGCAAACGCGTGGGCAGAGGGGGGGCACAGGGTCCGTGTCTCAACCGAGCTGGTGCAAGGAGAGGATGTTTCTCTGCTGTTGCATGGGGTGTGGGGGGGTGGGGGGTCGGTGCCCAGGGCCAGATTCTGCTTTTCCCGCGCTCTGGATGCAAAGCCCAGAGTGGCTGTGGCTGCCTGCAGCATCGGGGGACCCCCCGGGGCGAAGGGGAGAGGGGCACGGAGGCTGAGGACGCTCTTTTTACCAGTGCTCTGCTCCTCCTGGGAATAATCTGATTCAGCTCAGGCCATGAGGGTTGAGGCAAGAGCCACGGCTCAGCTTTGAGCAGCGTCCCCTGGGGGGGGAGACCCCTCCGCGTGGGAGCCAGCCCCAGCCCTGCCGCTCGTGGACACTGCCGCTTGTCAGAGCTGCTCAGCTTCAGCATTTCCTCGGCTGAAAGTGCTGCATTTAAGCCTGTGATGAACTCGGCCGTCACTTCAGTCCATTATTTCTGACGCACAAGTCAATATTCCGTGTTGAAAATGCGCTCTGCCACGTGTCTGCGTGGCAGCTGGCGGGGGGGGGGGCACGGCGAGGAGGGGTCACACTCTGCTCCTGCCTGGGGCTGGGCTGGAGCTGTGGTGCTGGAGGGATGTGGGGAGGCGGCTGCCGCAGCCCGCGGCGTGCTCCGGGCACGGCTACAGCTCCCGCCAGGCGGGCACGCGGCCCTCACCAAAAAACTCTTCATTTTCAAGTGTGACCAGGAGGAGCCCGAGCACAGCCCGGGGGCTGCTGCAGGGGAGATGCCTCTATTGAGAGCACAGGGCCACGGACAGCGGGGATGCTGAAAAGCAAAGAAAAAGAGAGAAAAAAGTCCTGGCTCCTGCTCTGTTGTTTCCTGGCGGTCTGCTGGGGCTGGGTGAGGGGATGCTGATGCCCGTGCTCAAACCATTGCAGCCCAGTCCAAAGGGCGATGCTGCTTCTGCCCAGCGCGGCTGGAGGTTCCCTTGGTCCTGTGGTGGGTCCCTGGGGCCGGGGTAGGCGTTTCCCACGGGAACCCCCCCGTGATGTCCCCGTCCCCAACGGCGCTGCCAGCCGCTGTCGGATGCCACGGGGCTGCCCCACGGCCCCAGGGTGAGATGTCAGATGGGGACGCTGGGGCGCGGGCCCTTCCTCGGCTGCGACCCCCTCTGACGTGCAGCTTGTGGATCTGCTGCAGCGGAGGCTTTTATTTAGAGCAGAGGGGTTTTTTTGTTTCTTGAATTCTGCCCTGAAGAGTCAATGTTATTAATTGAAAGTATTTGTTACTGTGTTCCTTTAACTACATTCTTTTTCCTTTCAGCACTGGCTGGAATTCACCAAGTCGGTTGTGAAGCAGATGAGGGGTGAGTATTGCTGCGGGCAGCCGTCCTGGGCAGACAGGGTGTGCTCCTTTCACTTTAGATGTATTTCCCTTTCCTCCAGCCCTTCCCCTCTGGGGTCACATCTCCCAGAAAAAGGGCCTTTTTGATTATCCACAAAGCTGTTCTGCTGGGTCAGCAGTGTTTGGGGGTACCGAGGGGGGCAGGTGAGCCCCCCCCAGCAATACCTGACCGTCTCCTCGAGCGGGGCACTGGGGAGGACGAAGGGGACAAACCCTGCCATTTGGTGACGGCGGTGTCGCTGTTCTTGCAGCCCAGCCTCCCTTCACCATGTGCTTCCGCGTGAAGTTTTATCCCACGGACCCCGCTGCTCTGAAGGAGGAGATCACCAGGTAAGGGTGGGGGGACCGGCTTATAGTCAAGGGAGAGCAACAGCCCTTCAGATTCCCAGACAAACCTGAACGTTTCAGGGTTGTCCCAGCTGTGGGGGAAGAGCGTGGAAATCCCCACGTGTGCTTCCTTAGCGCGGGGAGCACTAGCTGTGGGTTTAAACCCACGGGCTCGGTTTTCGGCCGCAGGGGGGGTTTACAAACCCCACGTTTTCGGGGCAAAGCGCTCAGCGTGCAGCACTGCTCGCCGTAACGTCTACCGCAGCTTCGGTACCACCGTGCCAGAGCAGAAGGGCTCCTGGGCTGCATTAGGTGCGTTGCCCTTCCCTGCAACCCTCCAAAAATCTCCCCTCCCAGCTGGCAGCCCCAGTCCCAGCCTGGGCAGGAAGGTGGGTTCAGGGAGGAGCAGCAGTTCTCCTGTGGGAGTCTGGTTTCTGCTTCTAAAGCTCTTTGCCGCTTCTGGATCAGCCATTAGTGCCGCTGCCTGAGCACACCCTTAGCTCAGGGTGTCATTACGTGTGCTCGGTCTGTCGGGAAGGGTTTGAGTGTCTCCAGTTCCCTTGACGTCCCCTGGAAGTCATTAGCCACCTCCCTTTTACGTAAGGGGCATGAATGCTCTGGGAGAAATGGGGGATAAATTGCGACGCAGAAACTTGACAGCGCGTCTCTCGAGTTTCTATCTTTAGGGGCTCTTCATGCCGCTCTTCCTGCCAGAAGGAAGGACGTGAAGAGCACTCGTGGAGAAACCGCAGCAGCTTTGGAAAACAAGCCGTGACTGTGGATCTCCGGGGCACGAGAGCCCCAACCCCGCCGGCAGCTCGGGTCTGCCTGAGGCAGCGGGGCTGGCGCCTTTGCTAAAGGTTTCTGCATTTCTCCCCTGGAACCTTTTGCCGCTCTTGCTGCAAATAATTCTTAGTTGTCTTTACAAGCCTGGGGTTTGCTAGGGAGAAGGTAATAAAAATGGTGTGGACAGGGTGCAGGCGCGCTGGAGGGACCGTGCCCAGGGCGCAGAGCACGGCCGTGCCGTGGGCACCCCACTGTCCCCCACCAGCCCGGGACCAGGGCGGTCACCTACCCCCGGGGCAGGACCCCTTCTTGACCCGGGTGGGGGTCTCTGCGAGGGGCTGTGGCAGCAGGGACCACCCTTGCCCGGGTCTCGCAGCTCCCTGTGGGGCTGTCATCGCTTTTTAAGGCGAAGCTGGAGGTGAGTTCCTCAGCCGCGCGCTTAGACGTTCTCCAGCTTTTCCTCAGATCAGGAGTAAAGGCCCCCTGCTCCCCTCCCAGGGGGTGGGGGGCATCCGGACCACTCGACTCCAGCTGGATTTTCATCCAGGGCGAGAAGCTTTAAATGAGCCCGTAATGCAGAAAGTGAGGAAGGGCAGAGGGGTCAGCCCCAGGGCTCGCCGTCGTGTCTCTGGCAGGGGCCCTTTGCCGAGGATGTAACTAGAAGAGGGAGGTGGCATGGGCTCACCCCTGTAGCCGAGGGGTGTCCCCTGGGGTCTGTCCTGCACGTGTCAGCGGTGTCACTGTCGGGGCTGCAAGGTCCCTCGCCACCCCTGCGCCCAGGACGGGGCTTGGGATTTGCCATCGGGGCGCTGCGCCTGGCCATCCCCATTTCCAGACTGCGGGACTGGTTTTCCCTTGCGACAAAGCAGGGGGCCCTCTTTGTACCTTGGAAAGCCGGTGGGCTCGCTCCTGGTGCGCGGGCGTCTGCAGGCCGCTGAGAAAAGTGTCGGATCCACTAGAACAATCCAAAAGCGTTTTGGGGCAAAAAGCGCCGGCTGCTGACCCCCGGAGCTGGGCCACTGCAGCAGGAGCCGGCTGATTCTCACGACCAGCTCTAGGAGGGAAATTTTTCCCTTTCCTTCTGCTTTTGGTCATTTGCACGTGTCCTAACGTGAAGTCCGGGCCAGGGAGCTGAGCTGGAGAAGCGACCTGTGAAGAGAGGACTGCAGAAATGCTTTTCCCGACTACGCCCTGGGTCCAGGTTTGGGGTGTGAGAGGGTGCAAAACTTGCAGGGTGCCAGCTGCCAAAACGCAGGTGGGGGCTCCAGACAGAGCCAGCGAGCTGCGCCTGTGAACAAAGGGTCTGGCTAAGGGGAAAAAACATTATTATTTGTGTCTGCAGCTGCAGGGCTCCCCTCTCCCCACCTACCTCAGGTTTTGCCTGTGATGGACTGTCGCACCAGAGATCATCAGGAGAAGGAAGCCCCTCGCTGACCTGCAAAAGCCAGGGAGAAAAGCAGCGCAGACTTCTCCCGATGCCTCCAGAGCAGGCTGTAAATGCCGTGTTGCACTGGGCTGCTGCAAATTGCGGGAGCCCCAACATCTTGGCCCCAGATACCCGCCGAGGGTGGGAAACAGCCCTCGCCCCTCGCTCAGCCTCAGCAGCCTGAGCCCGTGCAGCCCCCAGCCCCCCGGCTGCCGCCCCGGGTTCCCGAGGAAGAGCTGGGGTCCTTGCCAAGCGCCTCGAGAATTAAGTAGGCTTACTGATAGAGCTAAATATATTCCAGGATTTAATTCTTTAGGATTTTCACTCTGTTTCTGCAGGCAGCAAATGAGAGGATGTCTGGGCTTTTGCAGCCTGTTGTACAGCATATTTGGAATATACCAGGCCTCAGCTTTTTGCTTCGGTTTTGCATTAATAAACTCTCTGTATTTTTGTCGGGCAGATCAGTTAGAAGTAGTAGAGGATGATGAGGTGTTTCAAAAACTCTTTTGGAGTTTGGTGTCCCCATGGTAATGTACAAAACTAATGAAAGCTTTGCTGGTGTTTCAATGAAGGACCCAAAAAACAAAACTAAAAAGCCCCTTAAGATATTGGTTGAAAGCCTGAGAAAGTTTGGTTCTTCATGTCTGACCTTAAACAAGAGATGCAGATTAGGAGGAAAGCATTTGTAAAGAGCCCTGTGTGCATTTGCTGGGCCTGTTTAGGAGTGTCTTCACGTCCAGAATGCCAGTGTTTCTGCTGCTGCCAGGAGGTGTGCTGTAATCAGCTTTCCTGGATAGGATTGATCTGTTTTTTCCTACAGGCACATTTTAGTGGACCCAGAGAGGTGCCCAGGAATGGTTTCACACCCTTGTTTTGCTTAAGAGCCATTTATTTAGTTTGCAGATTTTACATTTACTCCCAGGAACTGCAACCCTGTGCAGCCATCAGGCCTTAATTTAAACCTGAAATGGCCCTGTGTCTGCCTAACGACAGCTATGGGCGCGGGCATTAGGCTGCGCATACAGTATGTTAATTGTATTTCTTTCCTTTAATCACAGCTTAGCAAACATCTGCAGTCCTGCAGTAAGGAGAATTGAAATGCAGGTCAGGGATTCACCCTTTGGGAGGGTGGGAGCTGGACCCAAGAGCAGCGGGGGCCCAGGAGCTGGCTGGGTCAAGTTCAGAAATATTTCCCATCTTTAATGTCCTTTTCCAAGGCAGCCGCATCCCACAGCCCAGCACCGCCCCGGGACACTCCTCTTTCCAGGGGATATTTCCAAGGCATAAGCGAGGCTTTGGGAAACCTGCTTGGCACCCGCTGAATGTGCGTGTAAACCCCGCTCGGGTGTGCAGACCTCCCCTGCTCAAAGGGCGCAGGGAGCTTTGGGGGGGGCGTGCGAGCGGGGCCGGGGGCCTGGCAGGGTTAAACCCCTTGGAGTGTGCGTTTTTGGGGAGGTCTGTGCTGGGACAGGGCTGGTGCTGGGTGAGGGTGCTGAGTTAGGGGTCCCCATCCGGGCGGGCAGCGGTGGGTTTGGCACTGGGAGCCCTGGGAGCCCTGGCCCCCCCCGTTGAGCCGGCCCCAGGTGGCCCTCAGACGGGGTTCGGTGCCCACTGTGCAAAATCCAGCCCCCGAGCCGTGGGAATGCGCAAAGAGGGGTGCTGGGGGGGAATGCCACGAAGCCAGCACCCCCACGCAGAGGAGCTGCAGCCTCTTGATCTTCCATCATTAGTAAAATCCCGAGTTTACGCTCGTTGGTCTGTAATTACCATTCCCACTGCTGTTGGTGAGTTATATTTCAGTTAGCCTCGCTTGCTGGGTAAATTAGCACGCGTGCTCCTTACAGGTGGGGGGGGGGGGCAAGTTCCCACAGTTCCCACAGATTTTTTTTTTTTCCCTGACTTTTTTTCTGACTTGGGCAATCATCCAGCCCCTGCCACTTTCTGGGTGGGATGTTTAGCTCTTCTCAGCCTCTCCGTAGTCATTAGCCCAGGGCTGGGATCCAGGTCTGACCATCCCCCGCAGATCCCCACGGGTCCCCACGGCACCAGGACAAGACCCCACTCGGGTGGGCTGCCCCTGCTCGCTGCCCTTCGAGGTGTGCCTGCAACTGCAGCTGAAACCTGGGCCTAAAATTCACTTTCCCCTGGACCGAGTACACATTAATATCTGGATTTCTCTGTAATACATTTTATCTGTGAAAATTAGTGGTTTATCTCATCATAAATACGGATTTGGGAAATGAAGCATGACTGAGATATTGCAGAGCGCAAGTTTGATTATTTCAACACATTTCTCAGCACTCCAATTTCCATCTTGCTCCTTCACTCTATGACTTACATTTTACCATCAAAAGGTTTTCCCAAACGCATTGCCACATGACTCAGCCCAGACAGTTATTTAGGTTGAAATTTATTCAAATACATAATTTCCCAACATAGTTTATCTTTTCACCGGGCTTTGGTGTGTGGAGATAGAGACAGGTGAATGCAGGAGGTAGCTGGCACCAGATGATGTGGTGGAGCAGGGACCTGGAAGGATGCAGAAAGTTGGGGAAGGAGAAGTTCCCGTTGTGGGGAAGCCGAGCAGCTGGGCAAGGGGCTGCCGGCGGGCTCGACCACGAGACCCCCTTCAGAGCATCATCCCTGGGCACCTCAGCCCCGGGGAGCTGGTGATGGGCTGGGGCGTTTGGGCACCGCTGCCCAAAACAGGGTGAAGCATCGTGGGGGGTGGGCAGGCAGAAGGGACCGGCACCTCCTTGCCCACGAGTTTCCTCCTTCCCGCGTTTTCCCTGGTGGGAGCGAGCATCCCAGTGTCTCTGTGCGGGGGCCCGGTGGCGGGGGTCTCCGCCAGCCCTCGGGCAGGTGCCGTGGCCCCACGGGGCCGGGACCTGGAGCCCTGAGCCCCCGCACTGGCCCTGCCTGGGGAGCTGCCCGGGAATTGGCACTTGTTCCCTCCTGGCAAGAGTAATGTCGTGTAAATGGGCTGCTGGGAGAGAAATGTTAGTGCACGCGTCTGGTGGCAGATATTCCACATCTAAATTGCCTGTTTAGGTAATTTAAACTTTGCTTAATAAATGGACTATCTCTTCTGTCCTCAGGTATTTAGTCTTCCTGCAGATCAAAAGGGATCTCTACCACGGCCGTCTCCTCTGCAAGACTTCAGATGCTGCTTTGTTGGCCGCCTATATCCTTCAAGGTAATGCTTTTTGACAAGATAAATTTGCTTTTCATGCTAAGTACCGGTTACATTATTTCACTTACAACAGATCACTGCACCTAGAATACAAATGTCATCCTGCCAGCGCAGGGCTCGTGCTCCAAGGCTGTGCTTGTGCGGTGCAGCGCTGGGCTAGGGCAGGGTCAGGATTGGTGCCGGGGTCTCGCCCGCAGCAGGCGCACCGCTCTGCCGTTTGCTCCCTGGGCTGCCCCGCCTGCACGGGGAGCCCCGCGAGCGTCCCCTCGGCGAATCCAGCCCGTCTCTCCGAGCTCTGTGCTCGCCCATCCCAGCCCTGCGGCCAAGCGCCGAGCCGCGCCTGCGCTGGGCTTCCCCAGCCGAGGGTGCTGGGCTGGGCACGGTGCTGCGGCCCCTCTCCCGGCGCCCGTGGTCGCGTCCCCAGGAAAAGCTGGGGAGCAGTCAAAAAAGACGAATGTCAGCTCTGAAGCATTTTGGAGTTATTTCACAGTGCTGGTGCGTTTCCCCCCTTTTAGCGTTTTAAGCAGGAATCATAAAAATCAATGTAATGTCCCCGTTTCACTTAGGACCTGGAGGGAATTAAATCAGAGCAAGGTCCTTTCATCCCCAGTGGCGGTCGGCTGCCGGGTTACTGTAAATCCTGGCAGGAGAGCCCAGCCACGGAGCTGTGTGACAGTGAAATGCCGGCGGGGATGCGAGCGGGGTGCCGGGGGAGGGAGCGGAGCTGTGTCAGCCCGTGCTGAGGAGAGAGCGGGGTCGAGCTCAGAAACGAGCTCGGCTCGGGAGTTTCTTCACCCCGATCTCAGTGCTGGGGGGCCGGGGGGGGGGGGTGGGGGGGTGGCCGAAGTACAGCCCTGCCATCGCTGCGCTCGCAGCTCGCCCGGGCTTGAAGCAGTTTTTCCAGGTGGGGATCAATCCCTGCCCACAGCCAGCGGGCAGATTTCCAATTAATTATATTTTTTCAAGGCGCAGTTGCATCCACACTGGGGAGCAGCGCTCGCTCAGTGCCCTGTTCCCGGCCGGGCTGGGGGCCGGGGGTGCCCCCGGGGTTCTCGGGGCCAAGCACCCCAGGGCTGCCACCGCACACACCCAGCACGGCTCCCGGGGGGTTCCTGGCAAATAGCTCGAGGAACAAATAGATTTGGGACAGGGACCATCATCTGCTGCAGGGTGGTTCCCAAGCAAAAGTGTAATTAGCGGGGCGCAGTTAAGGCTTTATGAACGATCCCTCCTGGTCGGGTCGGAGCGGCATTCCCGGGGTGCTCGGAGCCCCCACCCTGCGCCCAGTTGCTGCCGGGATGGGGACGCACTGGCTCATGCTGCTCTTCCTGACCAGCTCCTGTCTCCCCCGCAGCCGAAATCGGGGACTACGACCCGGGGAAGCACCCGGAGGGCTACAGCTCCAAGTTCCAGTTCTTCCCCAAACACTCGGAGAAGCTGGAGAGGAAAATTGCGGAGATTCACAAGTCGGAGCTGAGGTACGGCCGGGCGGCTTGGCTGCACGGGAGTGTCAGCTGCTGTGGGGATTACTGATGCTCGGTTGATTTTTATCCCTCTTTGGGATTTTCGGTCGTACCGTGGGATGAGCACTCGCTGCTCTGGTGTGTCAGATCCTGCTGCGAGCCAGCGGTGCTCTTGGCAGCGTTGCTAATAGCAAGAACGCAGAGCAGAGCGAGCTTCGGGGAAGCAGGTCGCTCGGTGGCGTAGAGGCATCACAACAAATCACCCGGCGAGAGGAGCTGCCGTGTCCCAGCAAACCTCTGCTCGCGGAAAGGAAAACGTGATCGAGCAGCCAAGGACAAGCTGCAGAAAGTGCAGACAAGTGAAAAAACACAGCGGCAATGCGGCAAAATCAGCCCCCATCCCTCCTGCCCCAGGGAGGGCCGGGGGGGTTTCTCCTGCCCTTTGCTGTTGGCTCGGCCAGAACAAGCCGGGGGGTCCCTGATCTTCCTCAGTGGGACGGGGACAGTGGCCAACCCCTGTCCCCCCCTCCTGCCTCCACGCAGTGTCAGAGACTGCTGGCAAAGCCCCGACCAGGCGGCTGGGGACCCCCCCGGGGAGGACGGGGCAGGTTTAACACCCCAGCAACCCGTCCGAGCCGTGCCCCCGTGTGCTGGGGGCTGCTGCCCTCTGCCCCTTCCCTTCCCCCCCTCCCCGAAGAAATGCCTGCGCTGCATATGGGAATTTCAGCCCTCAATTTTGCAGCTGCTCCTGAATTTTGGTCCTTTCTAGGGCTGCTGGTTCAGCGGGTCTCCTGCTGGATCAGGCTGGGTTTCAGTGCTGGTCTCCTGCTGCAAATCGATTGTGCTAACGAATGTAACGGGAATGAGCCATGACTGATGCCTCTTGTTAACAGAGACCCTGTAGCCCAGGGCTGACTTTCACATTCATGTCTTCCATGGAATATTCTTTTTTTTTTTTTTTCCTCCTGTAGTGGGCAGACACCAGCTACTTCGGAGCTGAATTTCCTCAGGAAAGCCCAGACTCTGGAGACCTACGGGGTTGACCCACACCCTTGCAAGGTAAAACGCTTTTCTTAGTGCTGTTCCTTGCGTTGGGTTTCTCGCTCCAGCTGGAAAGAAGCCCCAGAGGTACCAGGGACTGGTTCCCAGTGCGGCCGGTTGTCACCCAGCAGTGGGTTTGGGGCTGGCAGAGCCCTGGTAGGTGGGATGTGCCAGGAGTGCTCCGCAGTCCTTCCACAGGGCCTTTAGGGAAGCCCTAAGAAAGCGTTTTCACATGCAGATGGCTATAAAAGAGTGGCCCATCGTCTGCTGAAGCGTGTAATTTGGAGGCAGTAACAAGGTCAGTAACGTGTCCGAGAAACCAGCAAGCATTCATCTGCCACAGAGAGTCTATCGCCCTGCTCTTCCCTGGCCAGTAATCTGGTTTCCTGTTTGAAATGCTTTTTATTGACTGCAGATGTCACTGCATGTGGTTCTCTCTGGTCCCCTCTAATCCCATCACACGCAGGTGGATGCGGGATGCAAAGCAAACGGAGAATTTTACTGTGAGAGCAGTGCCTGCTCTGTGTCCCCCCGGGGCTTTTAACTCAATTATGCCACATAAATACACAATTGGGGTAACTACACGCGGCCTGGGGGGGGGGGTGCCCCGTTTACTGGTAGTCTGTGATTGCTGAAGAGGCTGCCAGGCGGGAGAGGCCGAATCACCACCTCGGTTCAGCCCTCCCGTGCTGCCGGCTGGGTCGGGCCCTGCTGCCCCGGGGGCGATGCTCAGCAGCTCAGCACCGGTGCTGGGGGGGGGGGCTGCACTTGGCTTTTATTTCCCTGTAGGCTCCTGTGCCCCATTTAGCATCCCCACCCCCAGCTCCCCATCCTCACCCCCAGCATGTGGGCTGGGTTCTGCAGAGACGCACAGAAATCTTCCTCCTCCTGCAAGACAAGGCTGCTGCATCTCCAACCCGAGGAGTTTGGGCATTTACACCTTGCCTTGTGCAGGGTGTTGGGCTGAGGTCTGGGGCTTCTCTGCTTTCAGCCGTTCACCTTTGACAGATCAAGACAGAGTTTTGATGCAATCTGGATTTAAAACCAATTTGTTCTGTGCTCAAACTCAGAAGATCTTACCACAACGCTGCCTCCCTGCCGTCCCCACACCGTGCCAGCAGAGGAACTGAGAGCCAGCAGCCCAGGGTGGGAAGCAAACAGCAAAGAAGATGTCTCGCCTCTTGATTAAGCCAGGGAAGGGCACAGCCGGGGGCAGAGGGGGGAATTGTACCCCCAGGCTGGGGAGATCCCGGGCACGGGGCGTCTCAGCGTCATGTGTCCCACTTTCCCCCAAGAAAACATCGCAGACACCAAACAGGCATCACTCTTCAGCAACCGCCCCTGGCAAATTCCCTGCCTGATTTTCTTGCCTGGTTCACCAGAAATCCCGAGCCTGGCATGCCCCTTCCCTCCAGCTCAGCAACATCCGAAAGCCATCTGAATATCTGCTGGCCGAATAAAAGTCAGGGTGGATCTAACAATTACTGAGTGGTCGCAACTCTTCCATCATCTTTTTAAAATCCAGCACGTATCCGTTTTTCCCATGCACACCAGCGCAGTTCATGATCGCTTCCCTGGAGTCCCGACGGTTATGATTAAGTTAAACTGCTGCCTTGCTCCATACATGACACTAATTATTGGTTTTAAATTGTCTCGATGCCGCCCAGCTGCACTGGCTCTGCAGGGCTCGGAGGGAGTCAGGAGTAACCTGTTTTTACCATTTTCTGCTTTAATTATTAGTGAAAGGGCTGGCGGGGCACAGCCCTGGCTGTTTATTCCTCACCAGTGGGCGGGTGGGACCGGCGGGGCTGGGCGCGCTTCGGCGCCCTGGGTCGATAAGCTTTGCCAGCTCGGCAGTGTTTTGATGGGGAATTGCTGCTGTCTTCCAGGACGTGTCGGGGAACGCCGCGTTTCTGGCCTTCACCCCCTTCGGATTTGTTGTTCTGCAGGGAAACAAGAGAGTTCACTTCATCAAATGGTGAGTTCCCCCCCCGGCCCGGCGGTGCCCGGCTCGCTGGGAGCCGTGCCGCTGGGTCGCGAGATGCGCCCGGTGCTGCGGGGAGGGGCTGTGAGCACCCCACACCACCCCGGGGAGCTCAGGGCGGGGCTCGGGTGAGCTCCCACGGGCGGGACGGGCGGGGGGGATGCCAGCACCGGGCGCTCGTGGTGCAGTGCCGGGCGCCTGGGCCGGGGCAGGGTCCGAGCAGAGGACGTGGAGGGGAGCAACACTGCAGCGGGGCTCTGCGGTGTGAGCTGCGCCCTCCCGCCTCTTGCTTTGTCTCCCCACGCTTCTTACCATTTTCTCCACCTGCCTGTGCTAAACTGCATCCTCTGCGTGCTGGCCGAGTCCCCCGAACGCCCCCCCAGCCCCTCTGAACCTGGTTGTGTTATTCCTTGGCCTTCGCTGCTTCTCAGACTCGGCCGGCGCGTCCCTCGCAGCCGGCACTGCCACCCGGCTGGTGCCCCTGTGACGGGGTCCCCGCGACTCTGGGACACCCCGCTGACCCCTCAGCTTCACCCCAGGGCTTCACCCCTTTCCAGCTGCGGGTTCCTGAGCCGGGGCTCCTCTCTCCGCCCTGTGGCACCCCCAGGGATGGAGGACAGGGGCTTGAGGCCACCCCCAAAGCACCATCTCTGGCCCTGCGGCTCCCGGCAGGCGCTTTGGCCGGGCTGCGGTGGGCTCCGCGCACCCTCCCACTGTCCTTGTCCTTTCAGGAACGAGGTGACCAAGATGAAATTCGAAGGGAAGACTTTCTATTTATACGTAAGTCAGAAAGAGGTGAGTGCTCTCCCTTCCCGTGGGACTTCCCGAGCGCGGCCGCGGTCGCTCCTTCAGCAGGTTCTCCGTGAGCTTGGCAGGCTGCGGCACCACCCCGTGCCCGGGGTGCGGGGACCCGGGGCAGCGCTGGGGTCACCCCCCTGCTCCCGCTGGCACCTTGCTCGGGGTGTCAGAGCCTGCCAACGCCGGGTTACCCCCGGGCTGTGCCGTGGTGAGGGCTCTGCCACGGCCGCGCGCTGCCTGGGGGATTATTGGGGTTATTTGTTACTGCCGTCCCGCCCCGTCAGCCCTAATTAAACAAAATCGGCCTCAAAACCTCTGCCTGAAATCGGCTCCTGCGCACGCCGGCAGCGTGGCTTCTTAAAAGCTGTATTTGTGGCTGTCGGGAAAGGCTGGTGAGGCGGAGGGGGTGGGAGGCAGGTCACTGGCTGCCCAGCCCTGCTGCGAGGTGCCGCGGGGGTGTTGGCTGATGCTCCGATGTCCCCGTGTCCGGGCGGCTCTGGGGGAGGCTGTGCCGTGTCAGTGCTGCTCTGGGCTCCATCCGCACCGCCAGCACGCTGCCCGCCGGGCACCTCTCCCTCGGGTCCTGCTGACTCCTCGTCTTTCTCCTTTAGGAAAAGAAAATTGTTCTTACCTATTTTGCCCCGACGCCGGAAGCCTGCAAGCACCTCTGGAAGTGTGGGATAGAAAACCAGGCGTTCTACAAGTAAGTGCCAGGCCAGCCGGGCTGAGCATCTCCCCATGGGGCTGGGTTGGTGCTGCCCCGCACAGCGCTCGGGCACCGGCTGCCACCAGCCCCTGTCCCACTGTCCCTGCTTTGGCTCTGCCCCGCGGGGTCCCTCCTGTCCCCCAACCCCTGCCCTGGCCCCACCGCGCTCATCCCCCCGTGGTGAGCCTCGAGTCGGGAGGTTAAAGCGAATTGCTCGGAGATGAAGCGTTTGGTGCTGAGCAACCGGCGCACGTCCCGGCCGCAGTGCATTCTGGCATTTTCCTGGGAGCCGGGAGCTCAGGGGCTGCGAGAGGGATGCAGCGGGGACAGGCACCGGCGAAACTCAGGCAATATTGCCCGGCCTAATAGTCAAGGGTGGATTTTCAAAAAGGGCTCCGCAGGGTCCGTTTGAGCTGTGTGAAAATCCCCGCTGAAGTCGAGCGAGTGCCCCAGGGTGCTTTAGAAAAGCCTGCCTTTTAATGGGGAAGGCTCAGAAACTTTCAGAAATAATCTACTTCTAAGCTCCTTGGGAGCAAGTCAGTTATTCGTGGGAAATACTGAAGGGACCGGGGAGGTGACGTACGGGCTGAGCTGCAGCCACGAGCCTGGGCAGTTGGGGACGGTGGCTCGAGGGAGCACCCCCCCCGCCGGCTGCCCGGCTTTGGGGGTCCCCTGGCCCAGGGGTCTCACCCGAGCGGTGGGAGCTCCTGCCCGGGGAGGAGGGGGAAGGTGCTGTCCTTCCCCAGGCACTCTGGGCTCCCCAGTTTGTGGCCACCGAGGCAGCTTTTCTGTCCCTGGTTTGGCTAATTGGGCTGTCAACCAGCGGGAGGTCACGGGCTGGACTCTGCCAGAAACCCGGGAGGTGCCAGGTGGGATGGTTTGGTTTTACCATCCTGCTCGCGTTGTACTTAAAAATAGCCTGCTTTGTGCTTTGTAATGAGTTTTATTTTAATCAGCAAGATGCGAGATAAAGCATGTGATGTATTCTCTTTGGGAATACTGCAATCAGCAGCTGCAATCAGCAGGTTTCATTTCTCATTATATTAACATGAAACGAAAAATTGCAATATTGCTTTACAAATCTTTTTGTGATTAATCGTGCCAGTAAATTACCGCTGCCTTATGCACCCGGGCGGAGTGGACTGTGGGCTGGGCCGAGGTGCTGCCGGGCTCCGCGCGGGGCGCAGGACCAGCTCCCAGGGGGTGAGGACACAGGATTGTCCCCACCGCTGGCCGGCTCCTGCACCCCTGCGATGCCAAGGTTTGGGGGGGGGGGGGGGGGGGGGGGGTGTTTAGCCCCCTGGAGACCCTCAGCCCTGTGCAGCTCCTGCCCAAGCCCCTTTCCAGCTGTGGGTCCGGGTCACCCCACGGCTGCTGACGGCTTGTCTGGTCCCCAGTGGGGTTTGTCTGGTCCCCAGTGGGGTTTGTCCGGTCCCCAGTGGGGTTTCACATCTTTGTTCTTGTGCTTCGGCCTCGCCGGCGGCACGCAGCTCCCACCCGCTGCTGGGGGGTCAGTCCGGCCGGGGGGGGGGGATGCAGGATGCTCACGCAGCTCTCGGTGCTGTTGAAGGTTGGAGAAGTCGAGCCAGGTCCGGACGGTGTCCAGCAGCAACTTGTTCTTCAAGGGAAGCCGGTTCCGATACAGGTAAGTAACGCCAGCCGGCAGCAGCTTCTGGGGCTCTCCGGCGGCTCCGCTGGACGCGCCGCGGGGAGCAGCTCAGGGCTGCCGCGAGCCCAGGACTTGCCGAGGGGTCTCCTGTCACCCCCCCACCGCAGCGCTGCCGCCCCGTCAGGGCCATCCCCGCTTCCCTCTGTTCCACAGCTGCCATCCCCCTCCCCAGCCCCAGAACTGCAGATTTTGGGAGGGACGGGCGTGGAGGAGGGGAGAGGATGGAGGGGCTTTTGGGGGTTTGGTTTGGGAGAACAACAGGGAGTGAGGCAGATCGACACAATTCCTAAATTCCTGGGGGGTGCTGCTCCTCCCTGGCCCGGGAGCGAGAACCTGGACCTGGGACCTCGTGTCTCTGCAGGATGAGAGACCCCAGCACATCCCCAGCTGTGAGGTGCACGATGCCAGCACCCTCCTCAGCACGGGAGGCGGGGGGGCCCAGACGCCCATGGAGTGTCCCCCTCTCGAGGGGAGGTGACCCCCCGGTGCCCGGCAGCTCATACCGGGGGAAGCAGCAAAGTGTGGTGGCAGAAGTGTGCGCCCAGCCTTTCCCCGCTCTTCCCATCACCCTGATTTCCAGCAAATATTTCTGCTTTCCCCTGGAGCCGTGGGGAGAGCCCCCCGCGCCGCGTGCGTGGGGAGGGGGCCAGCCCGGTCTGCCGCGGGGGGAGCTCGGGGTGCGCACCCCCCTCACAGCTGCTGTTCCTGAACCACCCGCAGTGGCCGCGTTGCAAAGGAGGTGATGGAGTCCAGCGCCAAGATCAAGAGGGAGCCCCCCGAGATTCACCGGTAAGAGCCCGGCAGCCGTGGCACGGTGCAGCCCACGGGGCCGGGGCCCCCCCAGCACGCGGTACCCGGCTCCCCGGGGCGGTGGAGGGAGCCCCAGGACCCAAGAGGGGAGAGCTGCCGTGCTCCCGGGGCTCTGGCACTGCCCGGGGCTCTGGCACTGCCCAGGGCTCTGACACTGTCCCCGTTCTGGTCCCCAGGGCGGGGCTGGTGCCGAGCCGGAGCTGCCCCTCCATCACCCACGGCCCCCGGCTGAGCAGCGTGCCCCGCACCCGGAGGAGAGCCGTGCACATCTCCATCATGGAAGGTAGGGCCCGGGGCAGCGCCGGGGGCACGCACGCGCGTGCACGTACACACACACACACATGTGCCACGTGCACACACAGGTGCGCGCACGCACACACCAAAAGCCTGTGCACGCACCCAGCTGAAACCCAGGTTTCTGTAGCCCCTGATGCCGGTGCGAGGGTGCCAGGGCAGGGACGTGGCCCCAGGGTCCCGCGGCAGGGCTGGAGGGCACCAGATGTTGCTCCCGCGGCTCGGGGCCAGCCTGGCAGCAGGAGCTGAGCCCCGCGGGCGTTTCCAGCGCGAGCGAGCGGAGGGGAGTTGCTCAGCAGTGATAATCTAAATTGTCCGCGGGGTCTCGGCAAGGGCAGAGCGTTGCTGAGAGCCGCCGGGCCGGCGTCCGAGCACAGGCAGGAACAAACTGGGCTGCAAAGGAACCTGTCGCCCACCTGGGAGCTGCTCCTGGCTTGCCAGGCCGGAGCACCCTGCCAGCCTGCAGCGGGGCGGCTGGTGTGTCCCCCCACCCCCCCCGGGGCGGTGCGGGGCCGGGGGTGCACCCGGGAAGGGGGGTTGGCAGTGGGCAAAATGCTGGGACCAGCCCCAGAGCTGCCCCACTGGGGGCCGGGGCTGTGCCACCGGCGGTGGCTGTGGTACCCACTGGTGGGTGCTGCTGGTGTGTGGGGGGCCGTCTGAGGATGCACAGGAGTTTGGAAAACTGGGAGGTGGGCGAGGGAACGGGGCAGGGAGCAGGGGGGGCGCAGGGGGTGGGTGCACCCCACAGTCGTGCCCTGAGCCCGGGGAGGGGCTGCGGGGCCACCCCTGCCCCGGCACAGCCGCACCAATCCTGCTCCCTGCCTGCCCAAAAGGGACAGGCCCCTCGGGGCAGGAGAGGGATTTATTTCCATCGAGGGAGCCCAGGGCTGGTGTCTGTGCTGATTTTGGGGGTGGGAGCGTGCCCGGCAGCCCCGTGGACAGGGTCACCTCTGCCACCCAGTTAAGTGTGAGCACCCTCTCCCCCGCCTCCCACCCGTGCCGTTGCGAAGCGGCAGGAGCATTAAATAGCCTCCCCCGATAAATCACCCCAAGCTGGCACAGCCTCCCGGCACCACCCCTGCCCCCGGCAGCTGCTTTTCCTCTCTCACACTTCAGCCCAGTCCCGTGGAAATGTGGGAGCCCAAAAATAGCCCCGACCCCGGGACCAGCAGCCCCAGTGCCGCCTGCGTCAGCCGTGCCGTGGGCCTGGCCAGCCCCCGCAGTCCCCACGGGTGCCCCGTGCCGTGGGCCAGGCCAGCCGCTGCCCGTGCCGCCATGGTGAAGTGCCTGATAAAGATTAAAACCAAAGTCAGCGTCCACCTGCGGCTCATCAACCACTGCTGCCGGGAGGTGAGGGTCCGGGTGCTGGCCCTGGGGCCGCGGCTGCTGGCCCGGGCTCTGGGGGCTCTGCCACTCCTCCCGGCTCTCCCCGGCCTCGGCCGCGATGCTCGGCACGGCCCCGGGGACGCACCCGCGCCAGGTAACGGCCGTCCGGGCTCTGGAGTGGCAGGGGGGTCCCCGGGGGGTCCCCACGAGCACAGCCCCGGGGGGATGCAGGGTGCGTGCCGTGGGGAGCAGGCTGGGGGCTCCCGTGCTGGCTGGACCCTGGGTCTTTATTCCCATGAAGCAGCTCGGGTTTTGGGGCTGGGCCCAGCTTTCCACTGATTCTGTAGCTTTTTCTGTCAGTCCCACAGAGTAAGCAGGTGGCAGGGAAGTTTGGGTCTGAGGGGGGGCTGGCACTGCTCTCGTTACACTGATGAGCAGGGGGACCCCCCCCCCAATCGCCTGCCCTCCCTGGGGAGCCGAGCTGCTGCCCGCCCCGGGGGGTGTCGGGGACACGGGGCGAATGCCGGACAGGGCTGTTCCCCCGAGCTGTGTGACTCGGGAGGAGGCATAGCTGTCGGGGCGAGAAGGTGTTTAATCCTCCGCCTCCGCGCTTGTCGCCCAAGCTGCCCCCACGGCAGGACCCGCGCTAAGCCGAGCTGAGCCGGAGGCATCCGGGGAGCGTTTCCAAGCAGGAGGGTGCAAAGCCCCGGGGAACGCGGGCAGGATGGGCTCCAGGGTCACCACTTCACCCTTGGGCACCTGCAAAAACGTCCAGCCCCAGTCCCCTGGCAGCCGGCTGCGGGGGGGCACTGGGGACCCGCTGGTCCTGGCCACCACCCCCCTGCCTGGGGTGCGGGACACTGCAGTGGCAGAATCGCCTTCCCCCCCCCCCATCACCGGCTCCTCTTGCTGTGAAAACCGCAAGGAGCAATTCCTGCACTTGTGGGATTTCTTGGAATTCAGGGGTTCCAGGGCGGGGGGGTGTTGGTGGGGAGAAGGGGTTCCCCTCGTCCTGCCCTTGGCGCAGAGGGCGGCTGGGCTGTAACTCAAGCTCAGCCGGGTTCGTGGCTGGGCGGGCTGGCCCACAGCTCCCACACGGATCTCGTTCCCCTGTGTGTACACTATTTTTTTTGGTAGCGGCTCAGCAGAGACCAGCGCGGTCGGTGACACCGGGCTGGGGTGCGGGTGGCTCTGTGGGGACAGGGGGGTGTGGGCAGATGCTTCTCCATGGGGCTGAGGCTCAGCTGGGACCCCACTGCACATCCTTGGGGTGCAGGGGTTGGGGGGGGGGGGTGGCGGGGCAGGCTGTGCCTGCCAGGAGGTAAATCCATCAGGCATCAGGATAAATCCATCAGGATAAATCCATCAGGATCTCTCCGAGGGCTGCAGCAGGCTTGGCCATCTCCACCAGTGCCATGGGGAGAGTTTGCCCCCAGTGCCCAGCTCAGGGCTGGCAGGGACCCCTCCGCTGCCCCAGCACGTGGATCCCTTGGGGGTGTTTCTGCTCCCTCCCCCCCAAATCCTGCCTGCTCCCGGGGCGGGGGGGTGTTGGTGTTGCTGATGGCAGATTGGGGCAGCTGCTGGGGGGTTGGGGGGGGGGGGGTGTTGGCACCTCGGGACCGTTCCCACGCAGGGATGTTCCCACGCAGGGATGTGTTCGCGCTCGCCTGAGGACAGGCTGTCGGTGATGGGGGTTTGGGCATCACCATGACAGTCACACGGGGCTGCCCGAGGGACCCCAAAACCAGCCAAAAGCACCCCGAGGCAGCCGTGGCGTCCCCACAGGGGATGCTGGGCCAGGCAACGGGGGGGGCGGGGGGCTTCCAGTGGTGGGAGGGCACCGCTGAGCATCCTCCCTTTTTTTTTCCATCCCTCTTGTCCCCCAGGCCTGGAGTCCCTGCGTGACAGTGCCCACTCGACCCCCGTGCGCTCGACCTCCCACGGCGACGCCTTCGCGGCCCCCGGCCGCAGCGGCCGCGCCGAGAGCAGCGAGCGGGTGGCCGTCATCGCCGACGAGAACTACAGCCCGGCGGACAGCGTGCTGCCCACGCCGGTGGCCGAGCACAGCCTGGAGCTGATGCTGCTCTCGCGGCAGGCGAACGGGGCCCCGTGCAGCATCGAGGAGGAGAAGGAGTCGGAGGCCGGCACGCCGGCGGCGGCCGAGGCGGAGGAGGCGGGCGGCGAGCTGCGGGCGCTGTGCCCCGGCGGCCTGGGGGCTGCCCGGGCGGAACAGGTGAATAAGTTTGTTTTAAGTGTCCTCCGTTTGCTCCTTGTGACAGTTGGACTCCTCTTTGTTTTGCTCCTCCTCCTGATCGTCCTTACCGAGTCCGACCTTGACACTGCCTTTTTCCGCGATATCCGCCAGACCCCCGAGTTCGAGCAGTTCCATTACCAATACTTTTGTCCCCTCAGGCGATGGTTTGCCTGCAAAGTCCGCGCCGTGGTAAGCCTGCTCATTGACACCTGAAGGCAGGAGCCACCACCTAACTGGCCGGGGCCCTGGGGAGCGACCTGCCTGCGGCACCCCCACTAACCCTCCCTCCCCGAGCCCGGCCCGGCGCGGCCGAGGCGGCGGCTTTTCGGGAGGAAGAGGAGGTTGGGGGGGGGGGGGTTTGGGGGTGCAGCTGCCCCCCACCCCCGGGGCCTCCTCCTCCCCGCACTCGGCCGCCCGCACAGCACTTCACCGGTCCGATTCGCACGGCTCCGGAGGCACCGAGCAGAGGGAGGAATTAATTTTATTATTACCGCCCGTCCTTGCCCGCGCGCCGGCCGGGCGGCTCGCGACGCTGCGCTGCGCAGGAGCTTTAGCACTGGTGCTACTGAGTAGTGATTGAAACACTCGTGTACTGTTACGTTATTGAATCCGCCACTGTGCACACCCACCCACCCACCCACCCCCCCCTTGCCACGGCTTTGCAGAACCACCCACCCCCCCACACCCCTCCCCGCCAGCCGGAGCCTCCTCTGCGCCGATGCGCTGCCGGGGGGACAACCCCACTCCTCCCCCGGTCCAAGGGGAGCCCTCTCCCCGCAGGCTTGGCCTTTCATCACTTTTATTTTCATTTTTTTTTGTTGTTTTTCCGAAGCCTTGAAGTGTCAGTGCTCCCGAGGGCGGGGAGAGCACGGGCAGGCGCGAGCACGCCGGCCAAGCCCGGGCGCGGAGCCAGTAGTGACCGTGTCGGATTTATTTAGGAAGACCTTTAGCCTCCAAAAGTTGTACCTGTTTTGTACAAAAGAAAAAAAAAAAAAAGAAAAAAAAAAAAAAAAAAGAGAGACTGTTTCAAGGTCTATTTTAACAACAAAGCACTATTTTGTTATCAAATCTAATCAAGTCTTTTTTTACTTTACGGATTGGGTGACCGTGGTGTGCTGTACCAAGCGGCTCACGCTGAGCAAATGGTTTAAGAGTAAACGCTTTTGTAGCCTGGAAGCCCAGATTAACCCATTGCTAGTTTTGGAATAGAGAAAGGAGCTCTACTTTTGTGACTTTTCTGAAGATAAAAAGGACGGAACTACAGGAGCGGAGGTGACACTGAACAAGCCAATGGACAACCATTAGACCTGTCTGTTCTAAAGCAAAAATCAGTAAAACCAACTCATCGCACTTGTGACCGGAGCAGCAGCGGTCGCTACACAGGGAGCAATAAAAGCCAGTTCTGTTAAGTTTTGGTTGAGGAGTTGGACAGACTGAGCAAAAAAGGTGAAAACAGGTGAGCAAGTTTTATTTCATCTCAGGGAGAGATTTTACGTCAGCTGGGGCCATAACTGCAGTTTAAAAAAAAAAAAAAAAAAAAAAAAAGCCTGATTTCCGCGTTCCTGTCGCCGAGCAGCCCCCTGGCCGGCCGGGACGTGGCTCGGCTCGGCTCGGCTCGGCTCCGCTCGGCTCGGCTCGGCCCCGCTCGGCTCCGCTCGGCTCGGCCCGGCCCACGCTCGGCTCCGCTCGGCTCCGCTCGGCTCGGCTCGGCCGGCGCTGCAATAAAGGGGGCCCCGCTGGGGGGGCGGGGGGGTCCGCGCCCGGCCCCGACTCCTGAGCAGGCGGGAGCCGCTACCAGCGACGGAGGATCGCTTTGGGGTTTGTTTTTTTTTGTGTTTTGGGTTTTTGTTTTTTTTTTTTTTTTTTAACATGATAATCCTGTTTTATGCAACACAGCGAGACGATTAACTCTTAGTGCAGTGTTCCTACCTCAGCCCGCAGTCAGTGGTGTCTCTATGCAGCGCGTGGTAGTCCCGAACCTGCCGTTTTTCGCCCCGGGTTGGAGACGCCGAGTGAGCGCGCGCGTCCGTGTGTGTCCGCGTGCGTCCGTGTGTCCGTCCCGCGGCCGTGCTGCCTGATGTCGCGACAGCAGCGCCCCGCTCCCCCCCGGCCCCCGCCGCGGCTTCCCCGCGACAGCTCCCACCCGCCCTGTGGCTGCAGAACCGCCCGAACTGGCGACTTTTCATCGCGCGTTTTCCCTGTACGTTCCACAGTCCGTCTCGTGTTTCACTCCCTGTTAGTTTTACCTGGCTTTATATTAAAATGTCGTTTCCATAGGTTCTTATGCCAGAGGAAAAAAAAAAAAAAAACAAATCTCATAATAGTGTACTGCATCTTTAAGCAGTAGATGGTAAAATACCTGAAAATGTGAATTTCTTAGTTTTCATAAAAAAAAAAAATCTAGAAATTAACCTTCCATGTGCCAAATACTGTAAGTTACATTTTTCCTTCAAAATGTACCTTTTTCTACATATTCAATATCTTAGTTAGCATAAAATCATCGGTGCCATGAGAAGTATTTTTAAATTTAAATAAATATTTAAATATCATGAAACCTGGAGTCGGCGTGAGATCCGTGCAGCGTTTCTGGTGTCGGTGCCCACTTTCCACCCGAGTGAAACCCGAGCGCAGCCCCCCCCCCCCCCCCCCCGGCCCTTGGGTTGGGGTGGGAAATGGGGAGCGGCGGGGGGCCGGAGGGTGCAGAAGGGGGGGCCCAGGCCAGCCCCCCGCAGCCCTGCCCACACCCTGACAACGCCAAATTCCAGGCAGAGCCCCGGAGCTTCCCCAGAACCAACCGGGACAAATTGTGGTGCAGAGACAGAGCGGGGGCAGTGCCAGGCCCGGAGCGCGCCGGCGCCGGGAGGCACCTCGCACACGCAGCAAGTTTTCAGGGTTTTTTTTGAAAAATAACTTTGGTGCCGGGGAGAAAGATTTCTGCACAAGCTGATTGGCACAGGAGGATTCATATTGTATTGTAACTAAAGAACGCCAAAGGTAGCTTAGAAGATTTATTTTAAAGCTTTTTAAAAATACAATTCTGTCCTGAGAAAACACAGTTAGCTTAGGAACAGCTTAACAGAGGTTAAACACTTTTCATGCAAAAAGGACAAAACAAAAATAAAAAACTGAGCCGTCTGTTCTATTCTCTGAACACATGAAGGCGGCCGCTGGAGTTGCCACCCACTAGGATGTTCTTACTGGGATGAACCACATTAATGGAACACACGGAGCCAAGGCAGTCAAGGTTCTGGAAAGAGTGCAAGAGCTTCCCCGTATCCCGGAACACTTCTATCTGCCTGGGCCGGGCCATGCTGCCCACCACGAAGCAGTCCTCCTGCTTAGGGTCCCATACTGCTCTGAACCGAGTTAACCAGCGCCCCGTGTTGTTGTTGTGTCTTCAGAGAAACAAACAGGGAGAAAAAAAAAAAGAAAGAGAGACAGTTCTCTTAGTGAATCCAGTATTTTTAACTCTCGTCATTTATGTCCTGTTTGCTGAAAACCAGCTCGCTGGCCCCCTAAGCCACCCCGGAGAGCTGGAGCCACCCGGGCGGCCACCGTCCTGCGGTGGCTGGGGCAGGGCCACGAAGTGCAGCGGAGCAGGACCAGGAGCCAAAGGGACTGGTAAGTCAAAGCAGTTGTGCTTCGTGGCCGTGTATTTCAGTAAACTCAGGACACGCGCGTGTCGAGCCTTTCGATAAACTGCAAACTAAAGAGTTTCCACGCCAGTCACTCAACCAGTCCCAGCTCCTCAGCAAACACCAACCCTGACAAGGATTCGCCCTCCCGGAGCACAAAGGTGTTCTACAAGCGCCGAGACTCCACTTGAAGAAGTAACCTTTGATATTTAAAAAAAAAAAAAAACCCCAACCGCACAAAGGAAAAGCATTCAGAAACAGCACACCTCCCGAACAGTCACAAAGTTCCAGGGGTGACATCAGAGCTCCCCTGCAGACTCCACTGACTCGAAGCAGTCGGCTTTGTGAACCGGGAGGCGCCGGTGGGGACAAGGACACGTCCCCCGGGGTGGGAGGGCCCGGGGGGGACCCCCGAGGCGGTTTGGACCCGGCGCCTTCGGCTTACCTGACAGTGCTGAGAGCTCCCACCGCCGACGGCAAAGAGCTGGTGTCGTAGACCCTGTAACGGGGGAGAGCGCGTTAACGAACGCGCAGGGGTTAGGGGAGGCTGCCCTCGCCCCGTGAAAGCAGGGAGCAGCACAGCCCAGACCACGCGGGGTTCTGCGATACGGCGACCAACAGCACGCAGGATCCCAGCTCAAACACAGCCACCAACGTTCCCCAGCTGCAGTGAGGAGGTTTGCTCTTTATACTTGGACCTGCTTTTAGCTAGAACTGAAGGCCGTCCCTTCCGAAAGCTGTTCTAGGAAGAGGGCAGGAACAGGCAAGTGCGAGGCTCCTCAGCCAGCATCCGTGTCCCCGCACCAAGCGGCTGCCCCGGGAGGGACACGGGAGAAAGGAAAACACACGCAGGGGTGAAATCCCACCAGGAACGGCCCCCGGTGCCAGCAGTGCCTCAGGCAGGCTGGAGCTCGGCCGAGAGAAACCACCAGCGGGTCTCCCCTCCCCGGCTCGCCTTCACCCCCATAAATGTCCAAGATCCCACCCCCCAGGGCAAAAAATTCAACTTGCTGCTGCGTTAAAAGCTGCTCCCTTTTTTCTCTGGAGTAAGCAGTGGATAAATGAACACGTATCTGTCTTCTCTAATTCTGTCGAGCACAAATACTCCGGCTCGCACACGTCCATTTGTACTCTGACGCCCGCGCTGTTAGCGCCAAGGATTTACAATTTTCACAACCAAACTCACTACAGAGAACAAATCCTCAATTGTACAGAGTGAACAGATCACAGGAAAGAAAGCATTACAGCAACGCGGGACGCGCACACACGAACTCTTTCCTGTGTGTGTGGAAGGGGAAGAAGGAAAATCAAATTTCCAGGCAAAACATATAATGCTGTAACAACTGCACCGTATTCAGGTTCTTTCCAGAATGCAGGTACTTACCCCCTCTTTTAAAAACACCTGCAACCTGTACAGACCTGATCCTCAGTCTGGCCTTCGCTGCCTCCCCCATCGCGTACCTGCTATCCTTTGGTACAATTCAGGACTCCTGAACACGCACGTGGCACATATGCAGATGCAGTCAGGTATTTACATGAATAGATTACCTGAATTACGGTCACAAAACTGCACCGTAGGAAAAAAAAACCTGGATCTCTAGTACAACACAACTCACAACAGTTTAAATTATCATCTGGTAGACTAGTTACAAAAGAGCTGATATTATCATAACTTTAAGTACCAGCAGCTAAAAATAAACCCAGTGTCTAAGCACGTTGTATTTGTATTCACAAGCCAGGTTCTTGGCTGGTTTTTGTTTGGTTGGTTTGGGGTTTTTTGTTTTGTTGTGTTTGTTTGCCTTTTAAAGACTAACAATACCTGTATATTTTACTGTTCACTGTTAAATATTCTTCAGGAAAATGAGAATTGGGAAAAAAAAATAATCAAAAAATGATTAAAAAAATCCATTAAAAATGCCAATATAAGTAAATCTTTATCGCTTTTTAAAAAAGCGATAAAGACAGAAAGCTCTCAATGACGGGTGAAGCAGATAGTTAAGAATAATAACAAAAAAATACCAGTTGAGGTTTTCCATACAGATTATTCCTTCCCGCAGCGTCTTACCTGAGCTTGTCGTCAGCACACACCGTCACTACTCTGCTCCCAGTTACAGGTGAGAAATATGCAGAAGCAACACTTTTTGTGTGTCCTTTCAGAGCGCTCACAGGCTTGTTCCCTTTAGACTTCAGGTACCGAACGTCGTAAATACAAACATCCCTGCAACACACGCCACACAGGACACTTCGCAAGGCGACAGGTAACTCATTACTCCTCTTCCCCATTTACCAAAAATCACCCACGAGCCACCGCAGGTTTTATGTGAGCTGCCTTCCAAACTTTAGCTCAGCAGCACACGCTCACTCACCCAGCCGGTGGCTCCCAAGGATTCTGAGAGCACCAAAACCAGCCCCACCCAGCAGCTCCTTGAAATCCCTTTACACCGCAATGGCTCAAAACCCAGTGACTCACCCACGAGACCATTTGGGACCATACTGCCAAAAGGTGAGGGAAAGTCAAAGCGCATCCCGTTTGAAATCCTTCTAAGAACTAAAAACTCGTTTTCTAAGTCAAAGAAAGCTCTGACCACTCTGCGGGGCTGACAAATCCTCTGCCTCATCCCCAGCGGCTCCTGCCCTCCAAACGGGGCGCGGGTACCTGACTTCAGACTCCAGTGCAGACAGGACACCGAAAAGACGGAGTAACTGCGGTTCATTTTGAGCTACGTACACTAAGCCAGCAGCCATGAAATACTGTTTATTCACTGGGTGAACATGGACTGTCCTCGTCCTTTTGAAGCCAATGTCTGCAGAAAGCTCTGAAGATGTTCCTGGGGTCCGTCTGTCCACAACAGCGACGTCGCCACCCCAGTGTCCTACTATTGCAGTGGAGGCGTTGTCTTCCAAAAAGTCAAAGGAAGACATGCTTTCTTCATTTCTGCATATCTGAGCACAGGAAAGGTCAAACGCGACCGAAATGATTCAATGAAATACAGAGAGTTATTCAAAACACCCGAAACACTCTACGGGCTGTAGATTTCTTGCTTTCCTTTTTTAACATAGTAAAAATACTAACGAAGGCCACCTCGTTTGCCAGCTCCAGCCCTCGCTATCCATGCAGGTGACCTTTCCGTGAAGCCGGTACGCCTTCCCCAGAGGAGATGATTAACTAACCCAGCAAACCGGCAACAACATACTCGGATTTCTCAAAACTCTAACAAGACACTGCCCCCCTCCACGTGCCGGTAATCAAACGGCCGTCACCCTCGAGCGCGCACCGAGCGAGGGGCAACGATACCGGTCCTTTCGCCGGTGCTACAGAAGCCTTTAAGTGGGTGCAGAAACGTGAATTTGGCAGAGCAGAGTCAGGACGTCAACCGAGGTGAGCCCGGGGCAGCTCCCTCTCAAGGCAGCGATGAGCCGTGAGCTCAGCGCTGCAGCAGAGCGCCCGCGGCCCCCCGGGTGCGCGCTCTCCCCAAGGCCGGCACTACCCCCAGAGGCACCGCAAGGCGGCTCAAGGGGGACGGAGCAGGAGAAGGGCATTTCTCTTCCCCCGACCTCTGAAGACGCGCTCTTGCAAGCGTTCTGCCGCAAAGAGCGAGCCACCCGGGCCCCTCCTGGCCCCCTCGCCGGCGGAGCGCAGGCGCTGCCCGAGCAGCTGGCCTGCCAGCAACCCCACCGAGATTACCGTGCCTGCAAGGGCTGGGGGAAAGAAGCTTTAAACTGTTGTAGCTTGTTATATTTTCCAATGTTGGAGAGCTGATCAACGCAGATGTATCTGTCAAAAATAAGCAAACCGAGCAAGCATCACAGAGCTCCCCGGGTAAGCTGTCGGGCTCACCATGGAGACAGTCACAGCATTTTGCTCACTCGAAACCTGAGAAAACCTGCTTTGTGTTGTTTTACGATGTTTCTTTGGGTAGGGCTTTTTGATAAGATTCAGTGCTTCAAATCGCTCTCGTTTGCCATGGTTAAAAGGTAATGCTTCTGAAAGAGGCACATATTGCTTAAGCACGGAGAAATGAAATTAAATTCAATAATTGCAGCTGTCTCTGCAGGAAGGAAATTGGGAGTACCCAAGCTGTTACTATGTTTTGAGTAGGAAGCATCTCCGTATTTTTATGATCTTAATTAAAGGTTACTTCACGTGTCCCTTGTGGAAATGGAACCTTGAACTTTCTTGTTAACAAAAGAACCAACAGATAACAACTTGCGTACGAGGAGACCAAAGCTTGGCAGCAGCACGTACCAAGAGATTTCCAGGCAGTCTGCAGCAGGACGGCGGGAGCACTCACCTCATCAAAGACAGCCCTAGTAACATCACCGCAGCGCAGAGAGTCATTGCTGAGGGACAGCAAGTGAGCAGGGTTAAACGGAGAGAAATGCATGCAGCTGACCGGGTAGTTGTGTGGAACAAAGACACGTGCTCCCTCGTCAGACTTACAGTCCTGAAAAACAACTGAGATTCAGTGGACACAGACACTAGTCGCTGCAGTTATTTCTGTTAATCATTGCAACTTTCAAAGTCGAGCCTCTGTTCTCAGTCTGCTCTGGGTAGCTGCACGGAGGGGGCAGGAGGGGCCCTGATGTGCGGGGACACTGGGGCGGGTAACGGAGGCAGCCAGAGTGCTCGGGGGCCAACACCTTCCCGAAACCAAAGGGACTTTCACCTCCCCACGGAAGAGAGAGCTGCCCTCCCGCAGACCGCCCCCCCCCCCCGCCATTCTCACCACTATACAAGTAATTTAGCTCAAAGGGGCACTAAGAATTTACTCTGTTCCAGCACTCTGTTTCGTCAGTAGGAGAAGCTGCAGCTCCCTGCTGGAATCTAAGTGCACTTGTGTCACTGCGGCCATCGGTGCTGTATCTGGCCATCGATATCTGGCTCTTTTTCACTGACAGCCCTGGATGCTCAGTTACCACGGGTGAACACCTCGCTGAGGACCAAACGTACACCTTTTACATCAAAATATGTACATACTAGGCTACTTAGAACTCAGGCTAAATTACAGTGATCCAAGCTGAATGTAAAGCATAATCTCCTGTATGTCCTCTTCTAATTCTGGCACCATTCAAGCTCTGTTATTTTAAAAGAAACTGAATAGACCGTTTTGGAACAAGCACCAGTTCGTGCCACAAAGATTATTCTGCTCCCAAACTTGGTCAAGTCCAACTCACTTCCAGGAAAATAAAAAAAGGGAGAGCAAAAGGGAAGAGTGGCTTTAACAATTCTAGGCTTCCACAGAAATGTCTCTGCAAGGCCGCAGAGAGCCTGCAGCACTCGGAGACCTCCACACTCCTCGACAGGTAGTAACCGCAGCTGCAGAGCTTGTTAAATTGTATGGAGCAGCCCAAACTTCTTTATGATCGAGTAGGAGCCTGAGCTGAATTTAGTTGATCAGTTTCCTGAAGCTGTCAGAGCAGAAATGACTCCAAACTCGAGAGGTTCATGACACTGCCAAAAATGAAAAGAAAATCTGCACGTGTGTGAACCTGGATGACGTGGGATCAAAGCGGAGGGTGCAGGGGGAGGTTGCAAAGGTGCAAGGCAAGGGCATGAATACGGATTCTTGCTGCAGGAGTAATGAAGGCAATTCAGAAACGACGGTGAGACTATCTGCAAAGCCCTCAGAAGTCTTCAAAGCGCCAAATGCTAAGCTATTTTCCAGAGACAATGTAAGCAAATGTGTGCCAGCATATATATTGGCAGAGCAGTTTTATTTCTGCTGTCGGGAAAAAGAGTGACTCACTGCAGCTACCCAAAATTTGTACAAACTCAAAAAAACAAATACTGGAGCATCCATTTCCCCTCACTCTCCAAAACCTAGCTGTGGTATTGCTGCCAGGGTACTGCAATTACATCCTGGATCTCCCGTCGGTGAAATGCAATTTTAACCCTCACTGATAACATTATTTCAGCTAGTGATCCATTTTCTTCTGCTCTGCCCCCTAAGATTACCGGCGCAACCCTTCCTCCCATGAAGCCTGGACTTGCCAAGGATCAGACAGAGCGTTTTCAGCAATTCCCGCGAGCCTCAGTTTAACCAACACCCTGGTTTTATCTGTAAGAACGAGGAAAACCTAACACACCATCGTGAGCCTGACGAAAGGACGCGGGAGGCCGTGCCCCACCTGTGTCCACCCTGCAACCAACGGCTCCGGCGGGCGAAGAGCAGCACCCTGACAACTCACCACGTTCCAGAGGCCGATCTGCCCCGACTTGTCTCCAGCTGCCACAAAGAGGAGGCTTTCAGAAGGGTGGATAGCCATAGAGCACACTCGGTATTTCACGACCTTCTTAACGTTGTCTTCACTGAGGACCATGCTGCTCAGGCTGTCTCGGTATCTGGACAACATCATTAAAACATCAGCTATTCGAGAGAAGAAAGGAGGGCAAGACAGTCGCCAGTTTTTAGCTGCTGTCTCCAGGTTACCTCTTCATGTCACACGTGCACTTTTCAGTATCACCAGCTTTCATCTACAGACAGAAAGGGAATATTTATCAGAATCAGAACCCAAGCTAAATTGTCTAAAAATGACTAATTGTAACTAATAATACCTCACTTATCCTCATCCATGTGGTCAGTAAGTCCTCTGCCAAGTTGCCGTTGGCCATCTCATCTTCTGGAACCATTGGCAAAGGTCCGGCTGGGACCTGCGGCTGGAATGACATCAGCAATTCTCTTAACTCACAACAACTGAAATTACGGGTAAGGTGAATTGTTACTTTCCACACACCGGTCATTCTGAGAACACATCCACGACAATACAGGAAATAAACATTAAAAAAAAAAAAAAAAAATGTATCAAAATCTTATTAAAAAGAGAGAACTTTACTGAACACAACAGCAAAGACAAACAACTGCCCTACGGTTTTTCCTCTCCCTTCTGATACTCCAGCAAGGTGGATCTTCACAAACTACATTACAGAGATTTAGCTTTATTCTGCAACACCATGGAAGATTTAAACTCCCATCCCTCAGAGCAATAGAATTTTTACTTGTTGCTACATAACTACTGCAGAAAGGTAGTAAACATTTCAAAGGAAAATAAACCAGATCAAAAGTAACAGTGAAATAAATTAAAACAGAGCGATAAAATTTTTAATTCTAAGCTGCTCAAATCTATGGGCTGCTAAAAATGCATAAAGTTTTACCTCAGAACCCTTCTGATCATCCAAAACCGCACTATTTCATCAACTCGAGTCACAGAATATTGCCTAACTTTCAGAGAGGACAGGGGAAGCCTGCTATTCAAGACGCCCGAGGGCGAAGGAATTTACCTTTTGTTCTTGCCACTGTGTACCTCACCTTCCCGAGCCTCCAAAGGTTTTTACAATAAGCTCCGCAATGACAAGTATCATCAGTCAACTTCACCAGCACTGTTTTTTATAAAGTATACACCCCCCCCTCCCCATCTTACATATTCCTCTGCTTCTGGCTGGGCGGGCATCTCCGGCACTGGAACTCCCAACGGCTCTACTCTTTGTAAGCGCATAGATCTTCGCCGCACTGATTCATTTTCTGCCTTTTTAGGCTTAGCTCTAGAGCAATGAAAACATTTCAGAGTTACAGACACAGTGAAATGGCCTAAGTTAAATCCTCTGCGTTTAAGCGCAAGCACAGAGCGGGTCCAGGCGCAGAGCCCTCACGCCCCGGCTCACAGCCTAACGAGTTCTGCGTCGCCTCAGGAGGGCTGCGATTACTTTTTCCTTCAGTGACAGCCACGAACAGCAAAAAGAGAACTTTGCAATGCACATACATTGTATTGCATTTTTGTTTCACCTGTAATACACCCTGCCACTGTCGCTTCTCTTCCCAGCCCTCCTTATTTATAATTCATCCTCCCACTCGCTGATCTGGTCATCTTTCTTCACTTTCTTTCATCATGGATCTTATTCATTATCTGGACTTAAGCTCCTATTTCTGCTCTGTCTGGCACAGTTCTGGCACTGCCAAATGTCTTTTTTTCTACACTAATTGGTTACTCTATCCTTTGCACCCAGTTCTCCCCCCCTCTTTTTCTCCCACACCTTTTCCCATAATTTGTTTTCACCATTTACCATTTCTTTCTCTAGCCACCGTGCAAAACTATCAGAAAAAAAAAATGTGCTTGAAATACCTTAATACAAATATCACAAAAAGAACAAATTCTGTAATTTGATGAAAAAGGTAATAGCACTGTCATTTTCTTTCCAAAGGATGGCAGAGGAGAGGCACTACCTAGAGGAGCTGCCTGTTCATGAACTCACACAGCTTAAGATAGTCAGTCATTCAGATTTAGCTTTAGAGGGAGACTCCTCCCTGGCTCTGCCTCCTGACAGCATCAGCTATGTGCAGATGGAACTGCTGAAACTTCAAACACACGATGAAGGAACAGCGATACAAATCTCATATACAGTTGTTTTACCTTTTGGCAACAGAAGACTGTTTTTTAGTTGTAATTTGGTGAAGTCTTGCAGCTGACTTAAGGAGAAAAAAAAATAGTATAAATACATATAACAAACCTAAAAGGTTAAGCTGTATAAAATACAGTTATCTAAAGGCTGCAATAAGTTATACTGTAATTATTTACAATAATAAAATGGGATTCTTAAGCATCAAGCTGTGCTGTGTCTGCTTTCTTTCATGTACCAGGAAGAATTCCCCGACGGCCGTGAACCACGCGCAGGAGCACAGCACTGCCTGGATGCTCTGCAGCCCTCCTCTGTGCAGAACAAAGCAAAAGTGGCCAGGCTGGAGAGAGCCCAGAAAAGGGCCACAGAGACAACCAAGGGCCTGGGCAGGCATGTGAGGAAAGGCTGAGAGGACGGGGTTTGTTCAACCTGGAGAAGAGCAGGCTGAGGAGGGGAGACCTCGTCACCATGTGACAAGGTATTTAAAGGGCGGCTGCAAAGGAGATGGAGACACCCCCTTTACAAGGAGGCACACGGAGAAGTGGAGGGGTGACGGGCACAAGTGACTCCTGGGGAGATTCTGACTGGACACGAGAGGAAAACGTTTCCCCATGAGAACACTCAGCCGCTGGGATCACCTCCCCCGGGAAGCGAAGCGGCGGATTCCCCAGCACTGGGCACTTTGAAGATCCAGCTGGACGGGGGGGCTGGGCCAGCTTGTCCAGACCGGGCTTTGCCAAGAAACCTCGAGGTCCCTTCCAACCCGGGATTCTGCCATTCTATGAATATTTTCTAAATGCTAAGCACCAGAGACAGAAAGACACGTAAAGCAGAACCTGTAACCGCAGAGGCCTCCGTTCACAGTGTCTTCTGAATTACATTTTGAAAACAGGCATTTAGTTCATTTGGACTCCAGAAAAGTTTAGGCATGTCCCGGTGAGATTACTAAAACCGCTGCTCCACTACTGCTCTAGTCAAAGCATCAGGAACCCTGGCATGAAAAGATTTACCTGCTTCTTGGGTTTGGCAGCCCCAATGCTGGCCAGTGCTAAAGGTAACCAAGACGGCTATAGCTCTCCTTTTGCTAGTCTTTGCTACTCTGCAGTCAGTGCTGTCACTAGTCAAACTGCCTAGTCTTTACTGACCTCTCTGCTGAGGGTAACTAGAAGAAAAGGAGTTATTTTTACTCAAGTTTCAGTCTTGGAGGTAAGGAGTCTTACTGCCTATTAGACAGGCCCAACCACGTCTTGCAGCCTGGTGTAACGAGCAAGCAAGCGTGCAGCCGTTCAAGGAGGTAATCCACTCAGTGCTGCCAGAAAAGGGATATATCGTGAATTTAAAAAAAAACCAAAACAAAACAAAAAACGTAGGAGAATGAAGCAGCACAGAAAGAAGGGCAAAGATTTGGATCTACTCATGCAGTAACATTTGAAATCCCGCTGCCTCAACCTTCTAGCCAGCTCCTCCAGCACGAGCAGAATCAGAACATGCCTGAGTGCACCCAGCCCAGGCCGGACACGGGGAAGGACTCCGGCCGCGCGGGCTCTGCCCCAGAGCCCCTCGGCCCCGGGCGCTGAGCTGAACCCCCCCGCAGCCCCCCCCCCCCGAGCTCAGCTCCTCAGGCCTTACACCAGCGAGCAGGACCCGCGCGTGCCGCGCTCACAAGCACCTTCACGCCCCCTCATCTGGAGCTGCGGGGGCCGAGGTCCCCTCTCCGAAACGCTAACCAGCGGCACAAAACCCCGGGGGGGTGTTTTTACCCAGTCGGGGCAGTCCTGATGTCCCAGGAAGCTTTCATGCCTTTCCTCACACACCTGCCACTGCTGGGGAAGGGTTTCACAACGAGAGGGATGACAGAACCATCAGGACACTTGGAGAGAGCATTTTGATGCTATTTAGGGTCCATACAAACCTCATGCATCTTTAAAGCGGCAAAGAATTTAGCATTTTCTGTAATGTTCTTTAGCCTTTTCCTTTCATAAGCTGATAACTGTGAGTATCCATCCTACAAAAAGAAAAGCCAATTACTCTTCGCTGTACAGTTACGTGGCCTGCAAGAGAAGTCCCAGGCTGCTGGAAGGTGAACGTCAAAACTGGTTGTCTGAATTATTTAAAAGGGGTTTGATGTATTTGTAAACAAACAAAAGAAACATACAATCGGGGGTGATCCCAGGTCAACGGCAAAACCTGTCCATACAGGTACTGGCCTGGATTACAAAACTTACTCCTAGCATTAATTCTACAAAAAGGGCAGTTCATAAAAACCTTACTAGAACAAAAATACTGAAGCGACTCAGTAAACAAAACTTCAGCAATACAGCAAACATTACACATATATGGAATGCAGGCTTTAATGATTTTCATCTTTTATAGAAGAGGTCAACTTGACAAGTTGAAAACGATGATTTAAATATAAACGAGCATTGACAAAACTATCCTATCTTATGACTGTATCCGTCCATAAAAAGGACTGGAGATGGTTACTGACAGCACACCGCCACACTGGTGCTTTTGCTACCGGGTTTTTACACTCTGATGTGCGGCTGATAGCAAGAGCAGTTTTTTTTTCGTCCCTTAAAAACTCTGAAAGGGTAAAACGAAGTTTTATAGTGCCCGTTAGAGAAGCTAAGAAGAAAAAAAAAAAAGATGACATGAAGAGGAAAATACTTTCAAGCCATCTTTTTCTAAACCAAGGAAACACGCGCCGCGAGAGCCGCGGAGCCTCCACTTCCTCGGCCGCAGTGTGGGAGCCGGGCAGTGCCGGCCGGGGGGCGAGGGGTGAGGGGCCGGGGGGGCCAAGGGGCCGAGGGGCCGAGGGGCGAGGGACCGAGGGACCGAGGGGTGAGGGGGCGAGGGGCCGAGGGACCGAGGGGCGAGGGGCCGAGGGGCGAGGGGGCGAGGGGCCGAGGGGGCGAGGGACCGAGGGGCGAGGGGCCGAGGGGCCGAGGGGCCGAGGGGCGAGGGACCGAGGGGCGAGGGACCGAGGGGCCGAGGGGCCGAGGGGCGAGGGGCCGAGGGCCGAGGGGCCGAGGGGGTGAGGGGCCGAGGGGCCGAGGGGCCGAGGGGCCGAGGGGCGAGGGCCGAGGGGGCCGAGGGGGCCGAGGGTCCGAGGGGCCGCTGCCCGGGCACTCACCGCAGCCGCGTCTCCCCCGTCGCTGCCGTCGCTGTCCGCATCCCAAGCGCCGTCCCGGCCCTGGCCGGGCTCCGGGCAGAGCCCCTGGCCGGCCCCCCGGCCCCCCGCCCCGCCGCCCCGCAGCCGCTTCCGGGGGGGGCGCCGGCCCGGGCCGGCCAGCGGCGTGAGCAGCACCCGCAGCTGCCGCCCCGCTCCCGCTCGCCCCTCGCCCGGCCGCGGCGGCAGCTCGGCGCTCCCCGTCGGCCTGGACTCCTGCGGGGGCGGCACCGGGGGCTCGGCGGGGACCCGGCACCTTCCCGTTCCCGCGCCCGCCGCCCTCCTTCCCGCCCCGCTCCCCGCAGTTCCGAAACTCCTCCCCCCGCACCCCCCGGGCTCCCTCTCCCCGGGGCTCCCTCTCCCCGGGGTTCCCTCTCCCCGCACCCCCCGGGGCTCCCTCCCCCCGCACCCCCCCGGGCTCCCTCTCCCCGGGGCTCCCTCTCCCCCGGGCTCCCTCCCCCCGCACCCCCCGGGCTCCCTCTCCCCGGGGCTCCTGCTCCCCGCAGCCCCCGGGCTCCGTCTCCCCGGGGTTCCCTCTCCCCGCACCCCCCGGGGTTCCCTCTCCCCGCACCCCCCCCGGGCTCCCTCTCCCCGGGGCTCCCTCTCCCCGGGGTTCCCTCTCCCCGCACCCCCCGGGGCTCCCTCCCCCCGCACCCCCCGGGGCTCCCTCCCCCCCGGCTCCCTCTCCCCGCACCCCCCGGGCTCCCTCCCCCCGGGTTCCCTCCCCCCACAGTCCCCGGGGCTCCCTCCCCCCGCACCCCCCGGGCTCCCTCTCCCCGCACCCCCCGGGGCTCCCTCCCCCCGGGGCTCCCTCCCCCCGCACCCCCCGGCCTCCTCCCCCCGCAGCCCCCGGCCCCCGGTTCCCGCCCGGCCCCCGCAGCCCCTCCCGGCGGCCCCCCCGCTCCCCACGGACCTGCATCCGCTGCCGGGTGCGCGGCGACAGCTCCGGCCACGGCAGCGTCACGGCCACGGCAGCGTCACGGCCACGGCGCGCAGGGCCGCGGGGGCGGAGCGGCCGCTTCCCGCTCCCGCGAGGGGCGGCCCGGCCGCGCCCCCGCCCACGGCGCCTTCCCGCCAGGCCGGGCGCCCCGTGGGGGTCAGCGGGAGCGCGGGGAGATTCGCGTTACGGAGGGATGCTCGGGGGGGGGGGGGGGGACACGAGGGGACGTTTTCAGCAGGGAGGGTTGCCGAGGGGGGGGTGGAGGCTCCCACAACACACGGGACCGGCCAGCACGGGTGGGTTGCACAGAAATAGCCGATGAGACCCGCAACGGCCCGTCGGTCCCGGGGGGATATTTGGGCAGGAGCCCCTGTCAGGGGGGAACGGGGGAGCCACGGGCGGCCCCAACGGCCGGGACAGGATCACGGCTTTAAAAAAAACGGAGCAAAACACAAAGCGGCACAGGCTGCTTTAAAAAAACGGAGCAAAACGCACGGGCCCTGGCACTCCAGCCCCAACACCCAGGGAATAAAATTTTAAACCGACAAACATTACTGATGTTTTCTATCTCAGGTGAACATCCCCAGACTCACGTTTTCAGAAGAGCAGCCCAGCTCTCCAGCTCTGAAGCACTTACACGAGCAGCAAGGGGGGAGAACGGAGGCGATGGGCAGTTCAGTGGCAGCGTTTGATTTCTGCTCCCAGGCGTACGTACCCCTGAGGCGGCTGTAAAGCAGGCTTACAGGGGGTAGTTTCAACCAAACAGCAGGGTTTCTAGAACCAGTCAGAACTCTCTTTGATTATAGTAGAAAGGAAGGTCCAAATAAACCCAGGAGTTTAAAAATATTTATTTAATGGGAGCTTTTGTACTTGACAAATGCGTAAGCCTCAGAAGGTTTAGCAAACGAAACAAAAATTCAATAAACAATGATCACATCTCCAGGGCTTGGCTTTATACAGTATTTACATTTTCCTAGTTACAGTATTGAATACGAAGGCTGAAGGAACTGCCTGGTTCTGGGTTTCGGCAGTGCCATAATCCCCAGCTTTCCAGCAGCTCCTTGCCAGGCAGTGGCACTGGCCGCTGCTGAACTGTAGCCAGAGGAAGCTGGAGCCTTGGAGCTAGGTGGCCTTCTGGTCCTTCGGTACTTGTAACCGCTGCAGAAATTTACAGAGAAGGTATGTGTCAAACATCTGCTTCGCTTGCCACACTCCCTGCACTCATGGCATACTCACACATACACCACCATTAGATTTTCTAGAAAACTATGCTTTCATTTTTCTATTTTTTTTTTTTTTTAAACACACATGGCTGCAAAAAAACCTTTGAAATGTAAGTCGGGTGTAGCAGTTGCTCTGGCATTTGCCTAAGGGCAAGAAGCAGCCTGAAACAGGGACAGAGAATGCTGAACCAGCCTGACTCCTATTAATCCAATTAGAGTATCAAGCACTAAGTGGCACTTCAGGGTCAACAGCATTCAATGACTAATATTTTAGTAGATGGGAAGGTGAAAAGGGTGTCAGTAAAACCCACTGGGCAGGGAACTGCTCTTTGCTACAAAAAACAAAGACCAGAATGAGGAAAAACAGGGCAGAGACATCCTTGGAAAGAACACTGGCAGAAAGCAGTGAGTTTTAACGAGGTAAATCATATTTTCTCCTTGATGATGAATGCAATATTAAAGCAGTGAAATGTAAGTAGTTAATAAAACCCAACAGTCTGTACGTTTTGGGTATGACTCTTCAGGTTGGGATTTTTACAGGTGGTTTTGGAGAGGATGTTAGTGCCATTTAGAGCTACTCTTCGGAATGGCCTGAACTCCTCACAGCTGAAAAATAATGCAATTTCTGTGATGCATACAGACTGAATAAAACCCCATTCAAAGAATTACTTCAGAAACGCAAGACAGGCTGTCCGCATAAATGCTGTTTTGAACCTCATGTTCTCTATCTCATATACCAAATGAGGTAAAATTTCTGGGCTGAGGCATTAAGAAACCTCACCGTACCACAGTACAGGGAATTTACATTTAATTCCTTTTTGTGCAAGACCAGCTATGAGCACAGCAAACCTTTAAAAGGCACAACTCTAAAACCCAACTAAGAACTTACTGCTTGAGTTTTCTAATGTCACACCACCCCCTGTTTTTGAAGGGGGTTTGGGGAGGGCAGAATTTCTCAACCATTTCTCCTTTTCCATTAGTTCGCTTTCAGCGCTAATTAATCATCGTGTTTTGAAGCACAGACATTCAGCACAAACGGCAACTACTTGAGTTCCCAGACTACATGAGCTGCTAAAATAAGGTCTTTGACTCAAAGGATGAGGCCCAGCCCGACTCCTCCCTCACTGTGTGCTAGTTTGGCTGTGAATCTGCCCCAGAAGCTCAAGACCAGCCAGACTCCTGGAGCCACACGTCCTGCTCCTGACGCAGGCGTGGCCTTGTACAGCACAATCAGAGGGAGAACTCTGAATTAACAAGGGACTGAAGTTCAAATTTTCCAAGTTTTAAGCCCTCTTTATGTTTTCAAGCATAGAATCCAGTCAGCCTGCTAATAACAGTTATGGCACCACACTGAAATTCAGTGTCACTACTTAGCTTGTGGCAGTCAAGAGTGAGAAACGAAGGACAACTGCTAAACATCCTTCCTCACCAGGAGCTCGTTAAACAAAAAATGCTAGAAGACCAAAGTAGAGCAGCTGTTACCAAGTACCTGAATAATTTTAATGTAATTTTTAAAGCCCTTACTCAAGAAAATGCAGTAGGATAACACTGCAATTCTGGGCTCATCATCATGCTGTCCTGGACAAAGGAAAGTTACTAATGACCAGAGGCAACATACCCTTTGGGATGAAACTGCTGGCCACCGCCATTACTTGTTTTTTTCCTTTTTGATTCTCTGAAGTTTGGCGGCCGCCTTCTTTTCCTCCTTTGGTTTGCATTATTGCAAAAATAGCTCGAGGTTGTAGCAGCATCTCCTGCTTCTTCATCGCTCTCAGGTGTGCCAGTGCTTCTCGGAGCCGTGTCCACACTTGGGCCGGCAGCATCTTCTGCAGACAGACAGCGAGTTAAAACTGGCCCAGCCAACGTTTTGTTAGTCAGAGCTGTCAGCCAGAACAACACCGACTGCACCAAAACTTCCGTCCTTGCTGTTCAAAACCTCCATTGCACTGCCTTCATCCTGGTGATGCTCCAGGCTCAGCTGCAGGTGTTTCGTAGGGTGGTGTGAAGTAAGCACTGAAGGCAGTTTTGGTTTATCTCATGACCTAAAAGAATACCGGCCAGTCCTATTTTTTCTAGCTTAGCTTCCTGCCTAAACTATTTTGGTAACACTAGGCTTTCTGCTTTTACACTCAATTCCTCACGTCAGCTGGAAAGAATTATGGAATATACCATAAATACTACAGTCAAATATGGCACTTGTTTTTAAAAACAGCATCAAGAGGCACTGAAAGGCTCAGACTGATTGAGAAGGAGCTTTCAGCTGTCACGATCAAGAGGGATGTGATTCTTTGCACAGGCAGTAGAACAAAATATTGAAAAGTCAGGTGTGTGGACATGCATTTATTCACACTGCAGTGTATGAAAGCACCGCCTCCTTAAATGCAAACATGAATCACTTTGAAATTGCAGGCCCTACTGTCTAATCTGATAGCCAAGCTGTATTAAATACTCTAACTGCAACACATGATTTACGAGTCTCGGGGCTCAATTCTCCACTGAGCTGAACTTTGTATAGAAGGTTAGAGCTGTGCAAAGGCATTGTAAAACATTACTATTCTGGCCCAGTAGCTTTTTTTTTTTTTTTTTTTTTTTTTTTTTTTTTTTTTTTTTACACCTAGCTTTGAAAGTTCTTCACATTTGAACAAGGGCTAGTCACCGAAGACCTGAACTTACTGACCTCAATTACTATGAAAAGGCAGTAGTTCTTGATTACCTGCCAGGCTACAACATTACCCCATACATAGTAGACTCAGGTGTAAAAATATGCAAGACCTTTGACCTTAAGGTCAGAATTCTCATTATAGTTAAGCATATTCTGTAAATCCCAATAACTAATAGGTGAGGAGCAGGGCAGTCTGCTTAGTTCTTGTTTCCTTTTTTAGTCTTTCAGAGATATGCTGAATTTAACTGGTGAGAAGATAGCAAAGATCTTTGTTCTGAAAGGGTGCAACTGCTCCCTTTTGATAATCATTAAACCTTAAGAATTAGTTATTTGTACTTAAAACAAGGTAACTTTTGAGTGAAACTTCTGACAGAGGAGGAGAGAAGGGTGCTGAACGGGAAAGTACACATTTAGGTACAAAGTATACTAAACCTGGTACGGTCCATTCAGAGTACTTCTCCATCACTTTAGTTATTTCTGCACCGTATTTTTCCAGTTTGTCTTCTGTGACACCATCAATCTGCAGTAAAACCTCCACATCAGATGACAAGGTTTCTGTAGCATAACAAAGTACCAGTTAGACATGTCAAACAAACTAATTTCCTTTAAAGAGAGATCACTGGTAGAAGTATTCTAGTGCCACCCTATGCATTGAGTCCTTAAGGCAGTAGGCTTTTATTCTAGCAGATTTGGTTCCAGTTGTTTAGCACAAAAACTAGTCCAGACGTTTTCTCTGCCAGTGCATCAGAGCTTTTTCAGTGCAATTACTTGGGCGGCTCCTGTACTGACCAGGCAGAACTGCTACAGCACAGACTGCAGCTCCACGGGATCCCTGCAGCGTCAGCTGCTTCCAGAGGACTCGCTCCGTTATGCGACCTTAAACCCGTTCTTGCTAGATGTTAGAAACTGCAGATTTTTCTGTCAGAAAAGGCTACCACTGCACGTGCAGTCTACTGCTGGCAGGGGTTCCAAGTAACGAAAAGCTGACGTTACCTGCTATCTTCTTTAGAGTTGAAGTACTGAAAATATTGAAGTAATGCACGTCAAAGACTTTCCCGAGCATTTTGCATGTGTCTGTAAGTTCCCCAAAGCACTTTTTAACCATTTCTTCCCGCTGTGACATTTTTGCCATGGAAGCCCTCTGCTTTCTGATGGCACTGGCACTTTCTGTTTCATGAAACTCCACCTGTTAAAATAAGCCCATCAGTAACTTCTGTCAGGGGAGTTACCACAAAGCCATCATTAGAAGATTGATCAATAACACAGGGAAATAGTAAAGAAAACCAAAAGTATTCTTTGATGGACCAAAAAAAAAAAGCTATTTACCCAGTATACACTTTTTAAATTTTTTTTGCAGGCTACTCAACAGCCCTTAAGTTTCTTCTACAAAGAACTAGCAGAGTATACACAACACAGGGCAAAAATCCCAAGAACCCAGTTCACAGCTAGCTTTAAACAGAGGTCGCTAGGTCTAATGCTGAGGGCTCTGCTCTTCTAATGCAGAGCACTAATGCGGAGGAGTTACTGCCTCAAGCAATTCTTGGACTGGTTCCATGACCTTGAAGTGCATTTTACATCAGTGCTCACAAATGACTGGAAAAAAAATAGAGCACAAAATGCAGGAGTAGCTAGCTCTGTTCCTTCTTTTCCTCTTAGCTAGCTTTTTCTGTGTTGGTCACAACTTTCCCTTCTTGTCAAAGTGGAATCAGATGGATGGGGTAGAAGAGAAAGATTTAATCCTCTCCAATCCTCTCAAACTCACCTTTTGCCTCACAACATTATTATTAGAATACTAGACTAGAAATCATACTTGTTGGATTCTGTTCCCCGCATCTGCTAAAGATTAGCTCCTGTACTTCAGCTGGGAGGCAAACTATGTTTAAACTATCCTAGGGTATATGCTACATGAAAAACCCCTGTAGCATATTCCTTAAAACAATATGTTCAAATTAAAGAAAAAAAAAAAAAAAATTGTTACGTACCTGTAGTGATCCATCTAGCACAGCCTGAGCTTTCTCTCCTAGAATTACATATGCTACTGCTTGGTCATTAGCTGTGATATACAAGTCTTCATTCAGAATCTTGTCCAAGACCAGTTTTCTAAACAGCCTTTCAACGTTATGCCTTGAGTAGGCAGCTCCCTTCCCGAAAATTCCAGACTGAATCTTCGCACTCGTCGTGCCTGTGCAACAGAAATCACAGGATTAGCCTGCAATCAGAAAGCTACATACGTGTGGATGTATTTACAGAGCTCTGGAACACTCCCAAGGCTATTCCATAGTCTGTGCACATTAAAAAATGCATTTAAGCACCAGAAAATTCAAGCACCACCAGAAAACTAATAATATCACTATAGCAACCTGAAATTAAAGCTTTAGCCTCATTTATTTTGGATCATTTATCACCAAGAGATTCCTGGGGAGAATCATTTTGCAAAATACACCTTCTTGTAAACCACTGCTGGTATTGGGCAGACCTCCTGTACTTAGTCGGGAATTATGCACCAAGTGTAATCAGGTGGTGTTTCTGGGAGAACTGTGCTTACCCAAGAAAATGTCTACCATCATATTCAATGTGTATCTTCCAGAACGTATGTTTCTCCCCGCATTTATTCGTCCCATTTGTCCACAGTGCTCTTGTACAAATCTTATAATGCTCTTCACTTCATCTGTTACATTTCTTGATTTGTAATCCTATTAAAACAGACTTGATCAGGAAACAATGTTGTGTGGTTCTGTCCTAATGCGAGTTGTTACTGACAACCTTCTTTTTCATTATTGAGCTTTTCCCAGTCATTAATTCACATAGTTCCAGACAAATAAATAGTGATTTTCTAATTAGTACACCTACAGTGATACAATATAGTCACAGGAATTCTGGATTTTATAATAGTCTGGAAGATGCAATAATACATACCAGCTGATTGTATATAATCTCTATTGTGTTAATTCTATAGAGTGAGCTGCAAGATTGCTGCGTGAGTACTGCTAATCAAGGTAAATCGCTTGGAAAGCATTCCCATAATTATTCTGCTGCCACGCACTAGAACTTATACTGCTATTATGCATTAAAATGAGAAGACTGGACTGCATATGCATTATTCTAGTCAAATTTGGTTACAATCATAGCTATGTAAGGTAATGCTTCAGACACAGGACCGAGAGGCAATAACATCAGGTACGAAACTCATCTGGTTTAGAGAGATCAGTAACCCTTCCCTGTCTGCTTCGAGCTCCTGCTCACGCCACTGACAAGTTTCCTTCAATCCTGGACACATACACCCTAAACTTCGGGCCACCTGAAGCAGTGCACACCTGATGTGGCACTCGTGCTACTCTGGCAGCACAAAGCTGCCCTGAAAACATCCGAATAGCAGCTGAAGGGACTTCCCCATCGCCACTCCAGGGGATCCTGTATTAGCTCCCATCTCCTACAAGCACTGCAGCCAACAAAATTGACACTAAGGAACACCCTTATACCTCGTTAGTCCTCCTCTGACAGAAGCAGAAGCATCGTAACTCCACGGATAGGCTGTGTAATTCTACTCTAGGTTAAACCCTGGCAATAATTCAAAGCATCCAGCATCACAAAAATACAAGACATCTTATTCATTTTCTCCATTTGCCTTCCCAAATGTCATGCAACCATTTTTTTAATGCAGGTAAATGCAAAATCGGTTTAACAACACTATAAATAAGAGCTATGATTTTTACCTTCTTTCTACTGCAGTTATCACAAATTACTTCTGGGTGATCTTTACAGAAGGTGGGACTAAAATTAGTTTCCCCAAAGTAGGCCAAAAGCTGAATTCTCCGGCAATCAACTACATTCTCACAGTAGTGAACCATACTGTACAGGTTGTTAAAGTGGGTCTCTCTTGTGTGACTGTTTCCGTCTTTCTCCACTGAAACGCAATAAATCAAATTGTATTTGTTAAATCCATACTTCTGCACTTTTATATATTATCAGGTAGACAAAACGCAATATTCTTTCGTTGCTTAAAAAAAGATGAGTAGGTTAGTACCAAACTAACCTAGGACAGATTCTACCTCTGAAGTTTTAAAGAATGGAGAAGGGAAATAAGACCAGAACTACAAGAATCAAGAGATGGGTATGTTTGAAGCAAAATGTTTTTGACTAAAGTTATGTACAAATAACAAAAATCTTTCTTTACAGAAAACTGTTCAGGTAAAGATGCACAGTTCTCCCGTCTTTGCAATACCACACTGCATATGGCACTTCTAAATGAGGAAATAACACTGCCTAAATGAAAGAGAGACCACTGACTAAGTGACATCTTTAATTTTCTCTCCAGTACGTTATAAACATGAGAACTCACTGAGTATTAGCCTTCTAAGTCTGGTTACATCACTGTAGCTGTAGAAGAGCAGACAGTGAGACATTTCACCATCTCGTCCAGCTCTGCCAGATTCTTGATAGTAACCTTCTATAGATTTCGGAAGGGAAGCATGGATAACATAGCGTACGTCAGGTTTATCAATCCCCATTCCAAAGGCAATCGTTGCACATATAACCTAAGAAGAAAATAATAATTTTTTACATAGAGCTGTGAAAGTTATTCATGCAGCACTCTGCACTGAAAATAGACAGGCGATCGGGATTACGAAACGGTGCAGAACCTAGAAATTCAATTTGACACTGCAAGCCGAGCACAAAACAGCACAAACACCTCCCTTTCAGAAGAGCTACTCCAGACCAAGGGAAAACTCCGAACCTGAGTCTCAATATACAATTCAGCAGCGTGCCTAGAGCTGTTTCAGAAGCCTTGTCCTGCTAAGCTCCTTTGTCCTGGAGTATCATACCTCGGTGCAGTGCTGCAGTCCTTGATTTGTAAGACCCCCAGTAAAACATGGCTAATGTGTTTCGGCAGATCCGTTCGGATCAGGTTTTTTAATACTGCATCTGATTTGGCAATAGCGTTACACAACCTCACTTCCATTTACTAGGCCAAGAGGGATAAGAGTGCTCTAAATTCTAATTCACTTCTTTCCCCCAGTTGCTTTTCTTTTACCTGGCATCCTTCTTGATTAACCCACTTCTTTTGTACAAGATCTCTGTTGGAGTCAGGGAGGCCAGCATGATAGGCAAGCGCAGCAAGGCCTTCCTTCTGCAGAATAGCCGCTGTCGTGTCGCATTCGTGACGTGAAAGGCAATAAATTATTCCAGAGTCATCTGCAAATATACATAAAAAGATTTGTGCTACAGCACAGCTTTATTCCTTTCATTTGCTTAATGGCCATACCTGTCAAGCAAATACATTTATTCCAACAGGGAGAGGTTGGCAAGTATAACGAAATAACTGCTTTAGTAATAAAGAAAAGTAATTTCATCAATATCAGATGATTTTGCTAGTTTCTCCTCACCCAATTCCTGTTGTTTTGGTGAGGTGGAATCAAGAAAAGTTTTCCTGCTCAGTACTGCATATCTTAGGATTTAAAATACGTGAATCAAGAACTATATAAATCAAGAGCTCGAGCAGTTCAGTCAATGCTACAGCAGGTCACAGCGCTGGGGAAGCTACAAAGGGAGCTTGGTGTAGTCAGCTTCCAGCAGCGGGAGCTGCAGGACTCCAGGAGCGAGCCTAGAAAGACAGGAATCTCTGAAGAGACCTTCAAGGGGAACCACAGATAAGCGGACCAACAGAATTAAACAATAAAAACAGCACGGATACGAGATGATCTTTATACTCCAAAGACACAATGCTAAAACATCTGGCAACATCCAGAAATATTACTCAGGAGCGTGACCATAATCTTCTTTTCCATCTTTACTTGAACCCTTAATTTTAGGATGCCCATAAATCTGATTCCCATTATCAATAATACCGTTTTGCCTCCAACTTGTTTTTCTTGTAAATACATCAGTAGCTTACAGAGAGGTACAAGTTTGGAGTTTTTACAGCACTGTAAAGGCTTTTCCTGACTTAAAAAGTAGTTAACACTGTGCTGCTCAGTACTCACATGGATGATATTTTTTAATCCATTCCAAGCAATCCATTGCCACCTTCTTTGGCTTCTTGGGCAACACATCGTATTTCAGGTTATGCCTGTTGAAGCTCATTGTAAACCTAAAACATGACAGTTCATGGGTGCTCATCAGCTTTCTGGGTGCAGTAATCCTTTTAACAAGCTAGGTATTGACTGCAATGTCCCAAATTCAACTAACTACTACTTGTTCTGCATTATCTGCAAAGGAATTATTGCTCCACTATGCACGTCACCCATACTTCGGGTCTAAGATTCCTGCATTTTTTCCTGTGGCTGTGAACAAACAAAGCTACATGTCACTACGTAGAAGGAAGAAATGCCCATAAATCAAACATGCACACAGCGATTTGCCTCACCTACATTCTCCTTTTAAATACTAGCATCCACAATTGGCTGATCAAATTTGTAAAAGAGTGCCACCTCCCTCCTTCTGCCCTAAAATACATTTCTAAAACAAGAGGGTCAACAAAACAGAATGCTTTATTTTTCCACTGTGTACAATGAAAACACTGCAGTACAATCCAGGCCCAGTGGTACCTCATTATCTATGTTATTCCAATGCTAACTAAAAACACTTCCAGCTTTTGCAGTTTTCCAGCAGTCTCGTGAAAAGTGCCCTAAAATACAACTTGCGTATTTTGTCAGTGACATAGAAAATTTCATTATTTTCTATTAAACAACTTCCTTAATCACGCAAGGAAGAGTTTGGCAAGTTTTTTCTTCTTACTTTAATATTTTGCATATAGCTCACATTGAGAATGTATGCACAGAATTTAATCAGCTACAACTACATAAGTATTTCAAGATGGACCTATACCGCTTTTCTTACTTTACTCAGTTTTCCACTCAAAATTTCTGCAGCACAAACAAATTGTTTCAGGAAACCGCTGAGCAACTTACACTTGTGGTTTTAGCATCTCAAGCTGATTCTGAATATCCTTCTGTACTCTGGGGTTAGCAGTGGCAGTAAGAGCCATCATAGGAACAGAGTGAAACTTCCTGCGGAGCATATTCAATCGTTTGTAGTCTTGTCGAAAATCGTGACCCCACTAGTTTAAAAACAGAATTTAAGTATAACTGAGTAAGACGCTGCAACTAAGTCTTTTGCCATTTTGAAAAACAAATCAAGGTTCTCACCTGGCTGACGCAGTGGGCCTCATCAATGACAAAACGCGCAAGGAGTTTCCTGTCGTAGAGATTCTCCAGGGCTGACATCAGCCGGTTGCTTGCACAAACCTAGGTACACATCCACCAGTGGCATTAGAAAGCAAAGTAACAGGGCAGTGTGCCACCCGACCTGGCTAAGAATACAGAAACAATTGTTCTGTACAGCAAAGTTAATCTCGACTGCACAGGTGAAGGCTGAAGGCATAAGGAAGATGGCAATCAGCTTCATTTTAACTGGCAGCGAAGCAGCTGGTGTGGGATTGCCACAAGGTCCTAGGATCATCTATCCAGAGGTCCTACAGTCTGGGTAAATTTAAATTATTTACATCACAAAAGACAGGGAAAGACAACGCTGAAGAGAGAAACATAATTAGCACGCTCACAGTCCCCTCGTACAAAGTTTTTGTGGAATAACATAATCTTTAAAGGCAGCATGTAATTAAGGGCAAGGCAATCTTTTGACAATCACGTATTACCTTGACAGTTACACATTTTTTCCTTGAATTATCCTACCCAAAGTAATCTAGATTCTGATAGTTACTTGACAGCAACTAGCCACTAACACGTGGTAAGATATATTGAAATGGATGGGCACAGGCTTTTTGTTTTAAGACTTTAGATTGTAAGACATACTCGGTTCTCATTCTTGGTTACTTAATGACTGAAATTAGTTACATCTGTACAGAGCCTTAATGAATTATCTAAAAAATGTTTAACAATTTTTTTTCCCCAGAAGCCTAAAGTCCAGTGTTTTCCCTTTGATACTTCATAGTAATCCTCCTCTTGTTGCCTCCACGATTTTACAATTCAAATTAAATACAAACCTTCTCAGGGGTAACATACAGAAGCTTTATTACAGGATCTTTTTTTGACAACTGCATATATATTTTTGAAGCATCAGAATCCGTTCTATCACCAGTAAGGTATGTTGCAGCAATCTGTATTAAAAAAGTATTAAGTTTTAATATGTGTAAAACAGAAGAATCTCCAAATATAGTTCTACATCTAGTTATAAATCAGATTTAAATAGTATATGCATTTACTATCCTCAATGAACATAACATTTTCAATGCTTCTTTGTGTAATTATAGATAGCATTTGAACCCCCACTGTACTGTAAACATCACAGAATTTTTCTAATGATAAAACCAACTGACTGTAAGCCAAATTCTGTTCTTCTGCTCCCAAATCTACCAGCAAACCCATGGCCGACTTAGGGGATATGTCTGCTTTCTTCGAACTCTCCTTCCAGCAAAGAAAATAAACGTGATGTTTGTTTATTGCTCAATATGCTATAAGTTTGAGATTGAATTCAGAAAACAGAGATCTTAAGAAACAAAGTTTCCAAGAAGCACAAAAACACGGTAACAACCTCAATAACAGTGCCCACAAACACAAAACACCGCCGCATCAGAAGAGATTGAATACAGCTTGGAGCAGCAATTTAATATTAAGTTTGTAAGTATAACTTACTATTCGTGCTGAATATTTACAAAGGAATTAGATCCTAAGGACAAAAACGGTGTACGAATAGGTCACACCAACAGAGCAAATCTGCCTGCTCGTCTCCTCTTCCTCTGGCAAGAGGCAGCTGCAGCTCTGCAGAGGAAATTCCTTCTGCAGCTAGGAAACCCCAGGAGCCCCAGAGCCAGTTTAATTTGCTTTTACAGCCCTGGCACCCACCAGAGCATGACCAGAGCGTGGCATTGTGCAACAGCAGCTCAGTGGAGGACAACCATTCGCTGGCCCTGCCTAGATCGACTATCAAAAACTGTGCTCAGTGAGAGAAGGATTTGTCTGAGCTTCAAAACCCTGCATCATAGTCTCTTCGGTCTCATACCCCAAAACACCTCTAGATTTTTTGCCCTAAAATGTATTGTTATCCATCTTTGTTCCCCTGATCTCTCAATCTCAATAACACGCTAAGGATGAAAAAGACACTTCAAAAGTAGCTCGTAAGTAGTCAGGCTTAGGAACACGCATCTTCTGCACTTAGGCCTTTCTTTCCTCTGTATATTACTTTTCTAGAAATACGAGCCAGCAACGTGCACTCGCAGCCCAGAAAGCCCATGTCCTGGGCTGCAGCCAGAGCAGGGGGGGCAGCAGGGCTGGGGAGGGGATTCTCCCCCTCTGCTCCGCTCTGGGGAGACCCCCCTGCAGTGCTGGGGCCAGCTCGGGGGCCCCCAACAGCAGAAGGACCCGGAGCTGCTCGAGCGGGGCCAGAGGAGCCCACGGAGATGCTGGGGGGGCTGGAGCAGCTCCCCTGGGGGGCCGGGCTGAGAGAGTTGGGGGGGTTCAGCCTGGAGAAGAGAAGGCTCCGGGGGGACCCTGAGAGTGGCCTCCCAGGGCTTAAAGGGGGGGCAGGAGAGGTGGGGGGACTCTGGGTCAGGGGGTGGGGGTAGGACAAGGGGGACAGTTTTAAATGGAAAGAGGGGAGATTTAGAGTAGATCTAAGGCAGAAATGTTTTACCAGGAGGATGGTGAGGCGCTGGCCCCGGGTGCCCAGAGCAGCTGTGGCTGCCCCCTCCCTGGAAGGGTTCAAGGCCAGGTTGGACGGGGCTGGGAGCCCCCTGGGCTGGGGGAAGGGGGGTGGGACTAGGTGATCTCTAACTTCCCTTCCAATCCAAACCATTCCATGAGTCTATGATTCAATGAGTCTATGAAATGCTTAGCACCTCCAGAACCCTCCTAACTCAGGAACTGTTAGTGCTTACTCCTGCTACAGAGCCAGGCTGCTCCTATTTAGGTGTCTAAATACAACTCTCAGAATCAGGCATCTGTACTTTGAAAACTAAGCTCCTATAACAAATACACGAGTCAATTTAGCTGTTAGGCTGCCAAGATATTCTAGTTCATCTCATGTAGTTCTTCCTAGACAACACTGTGTGCCTTTTACAGTTTCCATCTAATCAGTTTTTGCAGTTTATATTTTAGAGACATAAGATTTGCTGTAAAATTTCAGATTTATAATTCACTTATCTGCAGTTTAACTAAATAAAGCTCTTTGAACTTACATCTAAAGTCTTCAGTTTCTGAACTTGATCTATTATCAGTGACCTCAGTGGAGAGATAACAATAGTGACTCCAGCAGAGACACACGCTGGTAACTGGTAGCACAAGCTTTTACCACCACCTGTAAGGATTAAACAGAACACAACAAACATTAGGTGTGAAAAGGGAGAGAGTGTGGAGAAGGAGCGGAAGAGGGGAGACCTATTTCTTTCTTCCCATTTTATAGCACTTTCAGAAACAATAAACTTTTACCAATGACTGCCTTTAAAGTGCTACCTGTAGGATGAGTTACTGTGTGAAATATTATGGAAGGCAGAAATTGAATCACCTCGTTCAAAACACCACAGTGCATACAGTATTCCAGAAACCCTGCAGCCACAAAATTCAAGCAGCACAATTTATTGCCCCCTCCGCAAAGGCAGAGAGAAAGAGAAAAGTTTGTCACGGGCCCTGCAGAAAGAGCTTCAGGCCTTTATTTCTCAAGTGTGTGCCAGACCTCAAAAGCCTGCGGCTGTGTGACGTTTGGAGACACGTACCAGTGGGCATTAAGATGAAACAATCTTCACCCAGAAGAGCAGCATTGATGGCCTCCAGCTGATTTGTCCGAAAATAGTGCAAACCAAACTTTTTGTGAAATATATTCATCATTTCTTCAGAATGGGAGAATTTCATACCCCTGAAACATTCTAGTGCAGGGTTATTAACCGCTGGATCTAGTAGACAAAGGAAAGGTACTTAGAGCATGTTAGAATATCAAGTTGCACTACCCCTCTTGCAATGTAAAACTGCTTTGCTGTAACAGATGGCTTAGCCACCGCTTCAACCCTTTAAACTCAAATCATGACTTACAAAAAAAAAACTGCATTCATCTAGAATTTAAGACCAGCCAAAGTGTGAACTTTGATTATATGCAAATCTCTAGAAACAAGCTTCTTGCCTATGACTGTGTAAAATGCAAAGTCTTACACTGGCAGACTTAGCTACGGACGGGCTCCCTGTTGCGGTACCTAACAGCTGCTGCTGGCTGCATCAGTGACACACAAGCTGAGGAAACGGGTTAACTTTTTCACCTCCCTTTTACCAACCCGCTCCTGCAGTAACCACAAATAATACTGACCCACCCCCGTGCCCCAGAGGGATTAGATTTGCTTCAACAAGTGCCCATTTTTGAACATTTTGCATAAACGGCTAAAATTGCTGTACAGCTTTGAATTAACAACTGCAGAATCATTATTTAATTCAAACGCAAAAACATTCTAGTTTCCAATTTTAGCAGCTTCATCTTCCCAGCAGCTTGCAACCTGCATGGCAAATAAACATTCAAGTAGTTGGACATGATTTGGAGGAAAAAAAAAAAAAACAGCAGATGACTTTGCAAAGAGAAACCAAAAGAAATCTCTAGAGAAACAAGAGGCTTTGATGTAATCTGTGGTAAGTTACCTGGCCTTAGGTTTAAAAATAAGTAAATAAAAATTTAAAAAGGGCAAGACAGTAACCCCAACGAGCATAATTTACCTGAATGGTTCTTTGTTGTCACCAAGGAGGCTGATTTTGGAGCAGCAGGGTTTGACACCAAAGCAGATCCCTTGGCTCTGGACATTATCTTTGACAACAGCGATCTGGCAGGCGGCCCTTCCCTGACGGGCTGGTACAACGGCGTAGACGGCGCCTCAGGTGCCGAAACACTCTCCAGATTGTCCCAGCCATCATCCAAATCATCAATATCAAAGGGATCAAGGTCAAAGTCTGCATCACTTATACCTAAATTGCCTTCTGCAGGCAGGCCAGCAGCAGCTTTGCTCTGCCCTGGCGCAGCCGTGCTTGCGGGAGGCCTCTCCAGCCGACCACCGTTCCCACCGCCCCCCACCCCTGGTTTTTCACCCCAGCTGCTGCCGGAGGACGTCGCGGAGCGGGGGCCGGGGGCAGCTCCCTCGCTGCCATTTACCCTGCAAGGAGCCAGCGCTCGAGGTTCCGGGCAGGGGGTCTCCTCAACACTTTGCTTTGAAGCGTAAGAGGTATCCGAGGTTTGATTTTTTTTGGTAGAAAAATTGCTTGAATTAACAGTTGCAAAAAGCGTAGGTGGGAGGTTTGTGGATTTTGGCGAGTTTCTGCCAGAACTGAAGCTCCAGTTTGGGCCAGAACATGGAGCAGTACCAGGACATGCAGGAGGGCCCCGCTCCACACATGCCTTCCAGCTTCTAGGAAGAGTGTTGTTTGTGCTACTTTTGTTCAAAGTAACAGAATTACTTAGTAATTTTTTCCTGGGAGTGATGGCAGGGGAAGGAAGAAGAAAAAAAAAAATAATTTAGTCACAAGCAAAGATTTATCAAGTTCTACAACATACATTAACCAGTTTTGTCTCTATCCTGTTAAAAATATTAACATATGGTGGCTACAGAGCATTCTATGTCACTATATTTTAAAGATATTTCAAACAAATCTAGGGAAGAGGGAATAATACTGGAATTCACTTGAACAAAATAATTACAAAATTACTACATCTTCTTCGCAGACATAAAATAAAAGAATTCTCAATAGCATGGAACTGATCCAGGCAAGGTAGAGGATTAAAAAAAAAAAAACCTTAGAGATACAAACCTGAAGTTAAAAAGTAAAAATATGCTTGAACTGAATTATGGTTTTATGTACTTTTTAGAGACTACATCTGACTACAGTAATAAGACGAAATAGAATAAATTAGTTTTAACTGAGAATGTTCAGAAAAAGCACACAGTCCCAGTGAAAAAACAAAATCCCAAATATCAATACCTTGTCTACATATTGTGTCATCAGATTATGCAGAAGTTACAGCAGCACACTGCAGGAGCAATAATCACACTGAAAGATGACAAGTATGTGAATAGTGGGAGAAGTCATAATCACTGTAGTCAGTGGTAGCAAGCCTCACAGAGAGAATATTAAATTAATGCCTCTGGTTGCAAGACATCAGGATGACACCGCGCAGGTTACACCACGTCGCCCAGCTGCTTTGGAAGCACCTGGTGCTCATCACCTCCCAGAGGAGAGATACAGGACTACCTGTGCCTCATGCTGAACGTGGAACTGGATCCTTTCATCTGGCAGAACACTGGGATTGTAAATACCTTCAGCAGTTTGGGGCATTTTTTTTTCCTTCATTCAGTCAGTCATTTTAAGCTTTTTTAAAAATCCACCTGCATCGTCTTTCCAGTGTGATGGAGACACCTGCAGGCACGGCGCCGCTCTGCACAGAGCAGGGAGCGGCGCACGGCTGCTCATCAGAGCCTACCTGAGATCTCTCTGCTGGAGAAGTTCCTTTGCACACGACAGGGACTTGAGCTCATGAAGTGGGATGGCATCTACCAGCTTACAGATATCATCCATGACGCTGTAGAGCTGCTGTTCCAAGCCTTCATCTGCTGGGTGGAGCGGTTGTGAGCAGACAGTGATACTAAGTTTTATTAGCATATGTAACAAAGTGATACCACTTTCCCAAAGGGCAGTAAATTGCAATAAATAAGTTTAAATAACATACTTTTAATATATTTTAAAAAAGTCCACTCGCATAAAGAAACTGTTGCTGTATATGAACTCACCTAGTCTACACATTTTTGCCCTTGCCTTTTCATTATCCATCTATATACATTTTCCAAACCTTGTCATAGTTCTTTCAAACTTATTTCCAAAAAACATTCGAGTTTACATGTTTTGCTTATCTCAAATTACCCCTCCCCAAACGCACCGAAGCACACTTTATCAAAATATTACATTGCAATTCTAGACTAGAAAGTACTGCAGAAAACATCCCACAAGCGGAAGCCAGCATCTGTCACCTCATGACTTTCCCTTTCAAATCTGGCACCACTGCAAACCATCTGGATTTTGCCAATGAACTGCACTGCACCTCAAAATGCTGCTACCAGGGGTGTGCTGCCTCAGACTAAATCCTGGCCTCTGCTACACTTGCCTAACCGTGATTCACTGGGTGGCTAGAAAGGCACGCTGACCAGAAGTTTGCTATAGGCATAGCAAGTATGACAAGACAGAGCTTGACTGAATTGATTTCCAGAACAGCACTGTTAAAACATAAATATAAAAGCACCGCTCTGGGAATTTATAAACACAAAAATCTTAAATAACACTGTAGGACGGTACCATAAGCTGTATTTTTATATATTCTGAGAGGAAAGTCTGAACTGGCAGCCTTAAAACCAGGCTGTGCCACACCTCCACTCGGTAACTTTTCATCCTGCAAGTGACACTCAGAAACATTTTAGCTCAGTATTTCCCAAATACTGTGGGAATCAGATGGAAGCAGCCCCTTGCCTCCTTGGCCCCGTCGGTCACTGTTAGTTAACGCTCTCAGATTACATGAGATGCACAGGAAAACAATTAGTTGCAAACCATCCCCAAAATCTGAGGCATAAAATTCCAAAACATTTCGTGTACCTGCATCCCCCACACTGGGATCGCTTTCAGCAACAGGCTGCGTTGTGGCAACCTTCCCAGGCTTGGACTCAACACTGCTAGCTGTGGATCTTCCACCAGTAGGAGATTCTTTGAAAATATTACTAACATTAAAAGAAAAAGTCATTAAAATACAGATATCTGTAAATCAAGGCATTTCCATATGAGAAATTTATCTTTTGGATGTCTTTAAGATGTGTGTAAAAGGTAAGTAAGTTTCTGAAAACCCAGCTGAAATCCAAGTAGCTGAGCAGTTTATCATTCATCCTATGTGCCAATGTGCAGAGACTTACTTCAGTAATTTTTTTCCCCTCCTACTATGAAATGAAAAATAACTCTGCTTTTTCTGAAGCAAAAGACACCTTAAGTACTGGCCGTAAAAAAAGTATTTCATAAAACATTAAAAACAGCTGTCAACTGCTAACCTGCCAAGCACCAGACAGACACAATCAACTCAACCTGTAACTTTTTAACAAACACTAGGTTCATGTCTTTTTTTGGCACAATCATCCTAAAGACAGACAGTTTTACCAATTAATTTTGGTTTACCTAATGCTTTTTACAGAAGGCGAGATGGAAGGCAGCTCTTCTTCAGGGGAGGGTGGAATGATATCCAAGTAATCATCCTCATCAAGCTCAGTGCCTGCAAACAGCTCGGTGTCGGCCTCATCCACTTCTCGGGGGCTGTTTTTTTCATCACTGCTTGGCTTCTGGCTCTCCCCACCTTTATCATTAGCAACTGACAAAGAAGAGGATCAATATTGTCGGGTAACACTGTAAACTCCTACTGATATAAACAAAAATGCACCTGAACAGAGAGAAAAAATTAACAGCCAGATTTCAAAACACTCGTCTAATACAGTTTTTGACTTCTAAAGGACAAAAAAAAAAAATATTACTGTTCCCTTTTTATCCCCCATTAAAATCAGACAAAACAGCCACAAACCCCATTTTAAGTGGAAAAATTATATAGCTTGTCTATAGTTACTTTTCCCTGGCAGAAGAGAAAAAACTTAAGGGATGCATTTTCCTACAAGAGATTTTATAAAAAACTATTGTTGTATTAAATACTAGCTTAAAAAGAGCGTAGACTCATCAACTAGCATAGTCCCTATACTGGAAATAAAAGGTAAACTTACACCTATCGTGCCTTACAAGGCAAGTCCTACTAAGAAAGGCCAATATCACCAAGATACTAAAATTAATTTCACAGAAAGAGGGGGAAAGGTAGCAAAATATTCTTCAGAAGAAAAAAACAGTTCACAAACCCTTTCACCATTTAGTGTAACAGCAGCATCACAGAACACTGTTCAGTATCATTCAGCTACACAAACATATTAACTTCACAAATAAACATCAAAAGTTTCAACAGGTAAGGCATATAAAATAGAGAAGCTGCTGGAACACAGCTGCCAGGGAAGCAGTCTGACTGACACTCATGAACTTTTTGCTCATTATTGAGGGTTTGAGTTTTTGACGGTTTTGTTTGTGTTTTTTTTTTTTTTTTTGTTTTAAACTGAAAGAGAGCTCTTTTTCTGGAGTAACATTTCTCATTTTTACATTTAGGCATAAGGTGATTTTATGTCTCTTTTGTACGAAATTTAAAACCGCTTTTCTTTCTGTGACACCCCTATAAACCATTGCTCTTTGTTTCTGGAACGCCGTGTGGGAAGCCCTACAACTCCACTACTACTGCGTGACCCGCTGCTACTCGTGTGCCCGAGACAACGCTCCAGCATTCGCGACCCTGCACTTTCCACAAGGCTGGGGTCACCCAAACGAAACCACGTACCCACGACCGCTTGTCAGATACCAGCATGCAGCTGCCTCTGATTTCTGAAAAATAATTTATGATGTATGAAGCCCTCTGCGTGCCAACACGAACGTATTTTCTGCCAGCCCACTGGAACTCTGAGATAAATCGCTACCTGGCGGAGCCTCTTCCCTGCTATCAACCCAAATCACGTCAGCCGATAAGCTCTCCCCCACCGCCTCGTTACCGCTGCAGGGAGCCGAACCCCCAAGGCAGATCAGCGACTGCTGCGACAAGGGTCGTTGTTCAGGCTCCGGAGGGGGCTCGGCGGGGCTGCGAGGGCCCCCGGTCCCGGGAGAGCCCGGGGGCTCGTCCCGGCGAGGCTTCGAGGGGTGGGAGGCCTCTCCGGAGCCCCGCGGCCCTTTGGGGGCCGGGCCGGGCGGCCTGCGGTGCTTCTCGATCCTTGACAAATCGAAGTCGTCGATGTCGTCCCACTCCTCTTCCAGCGCAACGGCGGCCCCGGCCTGCCGGGCGGGAGCACCGAGCGGCCCCGCGGCCCCGCCGCCCTTCCCGGGGGCTTTCGCTGCCTCCCGGGAGGCGGCAAGCGCCGGGCTCGCACCGGCCGGCTCAAGGCCCCGTCCGCGGGGCCCGGCGGCTGCTGCTGGAAGGAAACCCTGGACCGGCGCCTTCTTGTCCGCGGGGGCAGCGAGGGGCGAGGCGAGCGCGGCCAGGCAGGTGTTGACATCTTTGTCCCTCAGCGCTGAGGCGGCGGAGAGGCCGCGGGGCTCCCGGGGCACGGCGCCGGCCGGAGAGGTCTTCTTGAAGACGAAGCGCCTGGAAAGAGAGGAGCCGCTCGTTAGGGGCCCGGCTGGCCCCCCCGGGAGCGGGGGGGGGGGGTAAGGGGGGGGCCCCGCTCCTCCCGCCCGCCGAGGCCCCGCGGAACGCACGCCGGCCGGTGCCGCAGCGGGGGCGGGTTGCTGAGGGGGCCGCGGGACGAGTGGAGCTGTAGCTGCTCCCGCAGGTTGTTGAGAGGCGCGGCCGCCATGACGGGGCCGGGAGGAGGAGGAGGAGGAGGAGGAGGAGGAGGAGGAGGAGGAGGAGGAGGAGGAGGAGGAGGAGGAGGAGGAGGAGGAGGAGGAGGAGGAGGAGGAGGAGGAGGAGGAGGAGGAAGGAGGAGGCGGAAGGAGGAGGCCGCCCCGCCGGCAGGGGGCTCTCTGCGCGCCGCGCGGCCCCTTCGTCTTTGGCGCCAAAAAAAAAAAACCGGCGCCTGCCCCGCCCCATCCGGCGGCCGCGCCGGAAGCGGGCCCTTCCGTTTCCACGGCAACGGCGGCCCTCCCGCCACAAAATGGCGGCGGCGCTGCCCGCAAGCACACGGACCCCCCCCCCCACGGGCGCCTTTAACCGCTGTAACCCCGGGAAAGGTTTTAACGCTCTGCACGGCCCTCCCCCCCGGAAAGCAAGGCTCGAACGCTGCGTCTCCCACCCGTGACCGCGGAGAGCACAGGCCACAGCGCTGACGAATCATCTTTATTCAGTCAGGGCTCGAGTGTAGCGGGAAATAACACATAAGGCAAGTGCCCCCTGCTGCCGCCCGCCCGTGTAGAAAGTGTTAGCAGCAAGCCTCCTGCTTGCTTCAGCGGTTCATAAAAGAAAATCTCTATGTGCATTAAAACACCCTAATTTTTTTAATACAAAAAAACACTAAAAACCTTTAATGAAAGTAGATAAAATTTACAAATCACAGCACGCATCTTTCTCTAGAGAAAGGAAAAAGTGCCTTCAAAGAAAACAAAAAACCCTACAAGTGGCATCTGTTCATCGGGAAACAGCCATGTGAAGGAAGGGGCGAGCTCTGCTGGGGCAGCGTCTTAAAACGGGGTGTCAGCGAGGCACTGCCCCACGCAAGCGGTGCCCCCGCTGCCGACCCCCCCCAGCAGCGGCCGGGGCCGGGACGGGGTTTGCTTTTGGCTGGGGAGAGGAGGCACGGGCCTCCCTACTGCAGGCAGCTGCGTGCAAGCCACGGAACATGCCTGCAGGTAACAACTTCCAGCAGACCGGTGTTTCATCGTGTTCTCACTTTCTTGGTTCAGGAATTCGTATACCATCAGTCGTTCCTCTTCCTGGGCCCACTCTCCCCGGCCTGCGCTCTCCTCTTACACCTGAGGGACCGGGTAAGATGCACAAGCAGCAAGACCACACATATTCTTGCCACGTTCAATAAGGAAGTACCTTAAAAAAAGAGAAAGAAACATGTGAGTGAGTGTTCCCTCCTCTGGCAGAGTCAGCAGGACAGACTGTAGTGTAAGGCAACTGCTCTCATTACGTGCAAGCTCCTGTATCAAGCCAGACCAAGGAGCAAATACCTGTGGCAGAGCTGCTGCTGCCAGGAGTTAGCCAGGCAACGCGACTCCCTGTCCCCCTTATGTCACAGACTAGCAGAGTCAGCACCTGACTCTCAAAAAATTGCACTTGCACTTGGAAATACTTGCGGAGCTGGAATGAGAACTGAGTCCCAGCACAACCCGTTCTCCTCTGGCTGTGCAGCCACGGAGGAGGCACGGTGCTCTCCTGGCACCAGGCACACCAGCCACTGGCCAAGCCCCCGGCGACAACAGCAGGTCTACTGATCTAAGGGTCTGCTCTAAGGAGTCACCCCAGGACTGGCTTGTGGAGCCACGTCTCCTTCACTGCTGAGGCTGCGATGTTTTCCCCCTGTGCCTTCCCAGAGTATGAAACGGCTGCAAAACTTCAGCTTGAGAGTGTAAGGGCGACCTGGGGGCTGATGAGGTGGGTGGAATCCCCGCATGTGACTGTCCTTCTACCAGGTACTGGAAGACCGTGGTGGGTCTAGTAGTGTTGGGACCTCCTTACCCATCCATGCCCCACAGCGGGCCCCAGGAGTTCTTCACAATCCAGTACGGAGTCCCATTTTCTTCTCCATACCCCACAGCAAGGACAGCGTGGTTCACCTTGTCAGGAGTGTGCTCACATCGTGGGCTGCGAAGAAAAGGAAAAACAATGCAGATGTGTTACATAAAAAAAAAAAAAAAACAGCCTGGAATTAATCATGGATCAGCCAGCGTTCTTGATTGCACTCCAACTGAAAAAGAACTAATGGATACTCTGAACTTCCAGTTGTGGAGAGTAGGGAAAGAAGCCAAGAAAAGGAGATACTGCTCTGTTTTCTCACTCAGAAATTATTACTGGCCATATCTGAAGTCAGGGTGATAGGCTACGTGGGCCTTTGTTCAGAGCACCTGGTCTGGCCTTTTGTTCAGAATTAACATGGACATTGTCACACAAGAATGAGCTACAATGAAAAAACTGAGCGAAGGAATTTTTCCAATGAAAACCAGAAGCTCTTAGTGCATCCCAGTAATGGCTTGTTCTGCCCCAAAGTTCAGGGGCACTGTTCCATACTTTGCACAGGAACAGCTAGTTCCTTGGTCTAAATACATATTTCCCTGTATCTCCTCTGAATCTCTAGCTTTTAAATTGCACTTGATGAAAGTTGCCACCTAGAACAGGACAAGACAAGGTACAAGCTCCCATCTCTAGAGCACCTGTTGTAATGCATTTTCAAATTGGAGATCACTACAAGATCAATAATCCCCACAACAGATTTACTTTTCTTGAATCTGTTAATAGTTGGTCTGGGGAGCATAGGCTGAAACCACTGGAGCATCAATTATTCCATATGCTCTGACTTTCCGTCTACCTTAGACTATAAATCTACAGAATAAATCGGTGCGTTCCTCAAACTGGGATCCTATTACAAAGTATCTTGACTGTCTCACCTGCTTGCACATCTTACATCCGCCTGTGACTCGCTTTAAACTTTGAGATTACCGTCTTTATTGCAACAGCAGAGCCACTCGAATTCACGGTGCTGCCTGCTCTTTCCCTTGCAGCTCCCTGGGGCAGACCACTCACGATTAGACTCTTAGTTTAATTTTCCCGGCAGTTCTACGTGACTGAGGATTCATTACTCTGAAGTATTGTTCCGGTTCTCTCCAAACACGCACTTTCCCCGTTTCTTGCCTAATAGAAATCTGTCCTGCCCCAGTGAGCTTCCACGGTCTTTCCAAAATATAACGATCATCCTTTAGGGCAGCTTTTGGCCTTGGCTGTAGAGCTGACACAACACTCGAGACCTCCTGCTAGGCCACACTGCATGTCTCAGGCCAGTTTTCCATCTCTGCTGCTTTCCTTACACGTTCAGCTGCAGCGGCAGCTCAGCACCCGGCGGGACTGGCGGGAGGAGCTCGGGGTCCTGCCCGCGCGGCGATGCGGGGAGCCCTGCCTTCACAACCCAGCCGGTGGATGGACCGGCTCCGGGCGGGCAGCGCCAAGGCAGCTGTGCCACCCACCACCCCCACTCCAGGGCCTGGCACTGGAGCAGCCGCCCGAGTCCCGCACAGAACTGACTTTGGTTAGGGCTTACCCTAAGTGAGCCAGATGTGTCCAGCGGCAACACCTGGGCCAACCCTGCCTCCATCCACAGCTCAGGCTCACACCTCCGCCCCGGGACAGGCCTCCCCCAGCTCTGCACAGGGCGGCAGGAGCTCACTGACTTGCCAACCTTCGTTCCAAACACGGTCTGGTCTTCAGGTTGGACTGGTTCCTAGCAGTAAATTAGCTGCAAACACACTGTTCCCTCTTCCCTGTGCTGTGCTCCCATTCCCCTGGGAAATCGAGTGTATCAAGGCACAGTTTACTTGCGTTTTCTATTTTCTATTTAAAAGAAAATGCAAAAATGCAGTCCAGTGCCCCTCCGTCCAGTGCCACAAAGCAGGAGGTATGGGGATGCGAGTGATTCCAGCCCTACGCCTTCCCCTCACCCCCCAGGTTCAGAAACACTCACTTTGAGTAGACTCCTTTTCTGTAGTGCATGAAGTTACTCGTCACCTCAAACGCAAAGCTCACCGGGTTGTGCTTCCCCACAGCTTCTACCATGCTGTCCTCATCATACTGCAAGAAGAGAGGAGCCCAGTGCCATTTATATGATGACGCTGGGACCAGTCACGATCCCCGGACCAGCGGTTGGAGCACAGTGGGGATGGCTGAGCCCCGCTTTCTGCTTGCTGACAAGGAAACAAGCGCAGCTTGCATTGAAAGACAAGAACCAGGACTTTTACAGTCTGGAGGCGCAGCCACTGTGGGAAGCAGCCAGAGACTGCCTGTTTTTTTGGCTATGGCAATTCACTGGTGCCATCCTCAGAAAAAGGGAGCCAGCGGCACGCAGGAGAGGAAGCGTGTGCGCGCCAGCGGCTCGCTCCTCTCCAAAGAGCGAGCAAGCCGCGGCGTGTGCTGCGGAGCCTGGCGTGCCCAGCACCTTCCAGGTCAGGGCTGGCACAGCGTTAACACCCAGGAAACGTAGACCTCGGGGCCTTACCTGCGTGATATTGATAACATCCTTGACAAACGCAATAGCTTTCTCCGGCTGGAACTTGCAGGTGCCGTTCTGTGCGGACAAAAAGGAAGCGGTGTTAAAGCCTGCGCTGGATCCTGCGCTGCAGGAACAGCCCTGAGCTGTGCTGGAAATACCTCGGCGCGGTACGGGTAGGTGTCCTCCCCCATGAGGCCTTTGTTATACAATATGTATTCGAAGGCTTGGCTTGGCAGGCCCCTGCAAGACATCACAGCCAGAATGCAGATTAATTAGGACGGTAATGCTGCGTCTTCTGCAGAGCAAAGCCATCAACCTTCCCCCCCCCGCAGTTCTACAGACTGTCCCCACAAACTGGGGGGAAAGGGAAGGACAGTCTGTACCCCAGACCCTCTAAAGGCATAAACTCCAGTCTGTTCCTGCAACATCTCCCTGCCTGGGACTCCGAGCCCATCGTGCTGTCTGGCATGGTCAGACCTCATTCTCAGGGGTGCCTGATCCCTGGGGGAGTGCCGGGCTGGGCGAGCCGAGGACCCAGCCAAGGAGGAAGAACGCAGCCGACTCAGTATGAGTGATAAAGCGTGCTTCAGTTATTGATTTTCATTACAGCCTTTTATAATCTTTCTACTAATTATGCCTACTAGTTACTAGCTGATTGGCTTAAGCTCTAAGGGTCGTATTCGCACGGTCCACCTACTTGCAGTTAGCTTACAGCACAAGCTTCTCATAACACTAAGTTTCTCATGCTACTATTTCTGATTCCTGTTGACTTGTTTTCGATACACAACAGTACCGTAACACAATGTTTCTCAGACCACCATTACCATAACACTGGGTTTCTCAGACCACTATTCCTAATTCCCCTTAACCTGTTTTCGACACACCACGGTACACAGGGCCGAAGCGTCCTTGACATTCCTCCTGTATCTGCAGCTGCGAGCAGCTGCAGGCAAACCCTAGTGAGGCCCAGCATCAGCAGCTAGAGCAGGCTCTGATCATACAATTGCTCGGTGGGCTCGGGACCCTTGTCTCTGAGCCATTCTCCAACAGGCGAGAACACCGACACAGGAGCCCCAAAGGCATGAGGCCAGCTCACCCACCCAGCACCAGCCGTGCCAGCTCAGCTCTGCAGCCTCGCACACCAAAAGGTGGTTTTCTGTGAGCTCTGCCCAGCCTGGCTGGGGTCCCCAGCTGCACAGCACGGGGGAGGACTGGGGACCCACATCTCCAGCGAGCAGCTGCGTCCTTCCCCGGCTCCATCCAGGGAGCACACCTCAGGGAGGGGAGCGAAGGAGAGTGTGATCAGGGTGTGCTCACAAGGAAAGGCCTGAGGAGGAGTCATGAGGAAAACAAAGAGCACCGAGAGTGGTTTTGCTCAGCGCTCTCAGCTTTCTGCAGGGACCTCTTATTTTACATAAAAGAGAAGATTTCAGAAAGCTCTATTTTCTGCCTTCTCTGGCAACACCAGTAGGAATTTACCAAAGGGGAAGCAGAGGTTTCTGTGGGTTCCTTAGAGCACTGTGACATGCATGTGACTCATAAGCAGAGCAACAGACAAAACTCCCCTTGCTTTCCCTGAGCATGTTAAAGCCTCGCTACATAGCGCCCATGACTGCAGTGCCAGAAGACACTAACAAAGCAAATATCAGAAATAAAACTAGTAAGAGGAACAACGGAGGTTAGGAAATGCTGGAGATTTAGTGAAAGCGAAACATTATCATCTCTAGGAAGGGCAAAAATAAAATAAGAAAAGCAAACGCAAAACTGTTTTACCTGACACATCAAAGCCAAGGGAAAACAAAAACCATTCCAAGATCCGGAAGGATCCTGACACTAGATCTTGAGGAAGGCTGTCGATTATGGAAGGTGAGATACCCCCATTTCTATCCTTTATTACTTTATGTTACTTACCCACTGCAGCCATGGTTGTTAAAAGCCTGGGCACAATCAACTAACTGTTGTTCCGCCTACGGAAAAGTTTTTTGAGTCAGTAAATATTCAACACCTGCGTAAGTGAGACGAAACTCGATCGGTGCGGTGGGCAACCGAGCAGTGCTGGTGTTACCCGTGCAGCCGGCTGGTCACCCGCGGCCAGCGGGAATCACCCGGCTGAACAGCCCCGCATCCCGAAGAGGGGCACGAGGGGGCCGGGGAGCTGGCGAGCCCAAGGTGCCCGGGCTGCAAGAGGCATTCCTCCTCACGCCTGCCGGGACGCCCGCGGGAGCGCCGGCTGAGATCTCTTTCAAAGGTCAAGTTTGTTTTTAACACTTAGGCCCAACCCTCAGTTGTTCTGTTAAGTCATATAAGCGGCTACTGTCTTTCTAGTTCAAGAATCTAAATCCTCTGGGAGCTTAAACAGCCTCGCAACACGCTGCTTGCACAGCTTTAGCTAACCATGCCTGCGTGCAGCAGCACGGACCCCTCAGCCTCCAGCCCCTCCGGTTTTGCCCTGCTCCGAAAAGGGCTCTGCCCAAGCCGGGGGCAGCGGGACACTCAGACCCTGCAACGGCGATAGGCACGTCCTCGGGCACAGAGGCCTCCCGGCCACGCTGCCCTGCGCCTCCCCAGAAGTTCTGCTCGACTTGCAAGGAGCTGCAAGGGGTCCGCAGGGCAGGGGGGCACCTGCCACAGCTGCACACAGCGACGTACAGCCGGCCTCGGAACAAGCAGCCGACGGGATCAGGCTGGCCCCGTCAGTGCCCAGGAAAGGAAAATCTCTTACCAGGGAGAGGAGCTTTCCTGTTGCAATAGCAATAGCGGACTCCAAACACCCCGTGGTGGAAAAGGTCCAGCAGCTCCCGCAGGGGCCCTGCGTGAGGAACCGGAGGGGAACTCCTCCACAATGTGCCGTGGGGTCACCGGCCTCCCCGAAGCACCGTGGCCAGGGCAGGAGGGCACGCCAGGAGCACTCCCCGCATGCAGCTCGGCTTCGCTCCCCCCTCGTCCCCTGCCCGAGGGCCCCCAGCCCCCCCCAGCCCCAGCCACGGAGGGGCTCCCGGCTGCGCCTGCGTCCCTGCAGGGACGCACACCCCAGCACTCCTCCTCCTCCTCCTCCCTGCAGCGGTTAGCCCCCCTCCCAGCCCGCTGCCGACGACGCAGGCTCCTCACCTGGTTTTTCACAGGCGTCACGTAATTTCCCTTCTTCCTCCAGTCGATGGAGTCGGGATACGGCCCGGAGCTGCCGAAGAAGTTCCCCTTGGTGGCTGAGCAGTTCTGCAAGCGAGGCGGGAGGGCTGCGGCGAGCTGCTGTGCTCCCTCCCGGGCTGGAGGGAGCGGTGGCCACCGTGCCGTGTTCGTGGCCTTGGCCACTACAAGCAGGAAGCCACGGGCCAGCCCCTGGAAGGGCCCTGCCAGCCCGCACACCCTGCAGCAGTGCCCGAGCTGCTCGGGGAGCTCCTAACTCCCCCAAAAGCCAGGATCAGGCCTTAGGTCTGCCCATAAAAACACAGATCGGCCCGCAAGGCTGTGAACGAAAGTGAGCACTCGGGGTCGAGGGTGGCGGGAGGCCGGGAGGGCAGGGGCTGGGGGGGCTCACCTCGCTCTTAGTGGGCTCCGGCAGGACAGGGCACTGCGCCTGGCAGCGCGGAGCGGTGGGGTGCAGCTCGGCGCGGAGCCCCCCCTTGGCTCGGGGCCCCCCATCCTGCCGCACCGCCGCACGCTGCTGGGGCTCACCTGGGGCTCTCTCCACAGGTACAGCTTTTTAAATTCCGCGAAGGTCAGATCGGAAAAGTGGTTCAGGCTCACTGGAAGGGAGGAGGAGGAGGAAAACGGGAGCGTTTTGCTGGGTGAGGGGGGGGTGACGGCGAGGGCGGAACGGGGGCTGGGGGGGGGAGCGGCTCCTTACTCTGGAAGCTGTGGTTGCCGGCGTTGTGCTCGTCGATCTGCCTCTTGTTGCCCACAAAGACCCGCAGCCTGCGGGGGTACTCGCCCGCGCCGTACCGCCGGTTGTGCTGCGGGGGGGGCACATCAGCCGCGCACCGAGGGCCCCCCCCAGCCCCCCCCCCCAGCCCCCCCCCCCCCCCCCCAGCCCCGGCCCCCAGCTCCTACCTGCCGCATCCAGGCCTTGAACTGCAGCTCCTCTGCGGGAGGGAGGAGGGGGGGGGTGTCAGCGGCGGCTCCGGCCCGGTTCCCCCGCTCCCCCCCCCCCCCCCCCGGGCCGGGCCGAGCCGCCCCCTCCCCGCCCGGTGCCCCCTTTACCTTCGGCCGAGGGGGCCCAAGCAGCGGCGCCGGGCGCCAGGAGCGCAGCCGCTACCAGCAACCCAGCCCAACCCATCGCCCCGCCGAGCCGAGCTTAACTGGGCCGGGCCGGGCCGCGCCTCCGCCGGGGGGGCGGGGAAAGGGGCGGGGAAAGGGGCGGGGCGCCCGCGGGGGCGGGGAAAGGGGCGGGGAAAGGGGCGGGGCGCCCGGGGGGGCGGGGAAAGGGGCGGGGCGCCCGCGGGGGGGCGGGGCCGACGGTGACCCGCCCACAAAAAACCCTCACAAGTCCCGGTTCACCCTGAGATAGAATAGATTTATTAGCAAGAGGTAATCAGGAAACATATATTTTTACAAAAAAAAATGGAAATATTCTTCCAAACAAGCTGTAAGTTGAAATAGTTTTAGGGCTTGAAAGAGAATTCTCATACCACGAGGTATTGCTTACAGCAAAAGTGTTCTGGTTGTTAGAGTGGAGCATGCCTGCCACTGTAAAGTTAAACTGTGTTTATATACTGTACAATGTAAAAAATACATGGTAATATTCACAGAATAAGCACTACATTACTATATTCCTGCTAGAAGGTGGTTAGACAGGATTACAGTATATGTAATAAAAACACTCGGTCATCTTTTTCTAAGTCTACATCATGTTACTCATAGTGGTCACAAGGTATACGGATCTACAGCATATCAACAGAAGCTTGTCATGAGCCGTATGCAGCGAGGAGTCAAAGGGACGTTTCCATCTTCCCGACTTAGGAGGGACCGGGGGCCGCGGCCGAGGGGCCCCCCCGTGCCAGGCGGGCGTGGGGCGGCACACACGGAGAGGGCAGCTTGGCACCGAGGGATAAGCCTTAATGCGTTCTCTCCCCCCGCCTTACAGAGTTTGCCCGGGGTCGTTACTGCCGAAAGCCGCTGCCCGGGAGCCCCGGGGGGCACACACGGGATCAGCTGCCCGACCACCAGCCCCCCCCACTCCCCCCCCACCCCCCCCCCCACCCCGCCCCTAGAAGAACAAATGACAAAAAGAACATCATCGAAAAGAAACCGGGACTCCAGCAAAGTGTCGATGCGTGAAACCTTAAACGATGCGGGAAATCCTACGCGAGGTCTACTGCGGCCTAAGGACGAGGAGGGCGGTTTGCTCGGAGAAGCACATACGTGGAAGTCACTCCAGGGCGTCCAACAGAAACAAAGAGATATATACAGTATGGTATAGCGTGTGTACACGAGCAGCCGCCGGCCACTGCTCCGGGCTCAAGAAGGCAGTTTGGGCTCTATTCGCAGAGAAGCTTCGTAAAGGGTTTCTTCGTCCATCACAAACGACTGGTCCAGCAGGTACTGCGTCACCTGGGAAATCAGAGCCAGACCGTTAACAGGGAGGACTCACCTCGGCCACAGCCAACGGGAAACGCCGAAATTAAGAAACGGTAAAGGCCCGAGCAGTAACCAAGTCACAGAGAAGCGCCTGCAGTTCCTGCCAACCCACACAGGCGTTGCACGTGCTTATCTCATCCCAGGACTGCAAAGTCTTGCCTAGTCCTCAGCCGCTCTTCAGTTTTGCTTGCTTAGTTTTCCTTTCGGTACTATTTTATCAGCCACAAAGTTCTCTGCTGTTGAGAACACAAAATCCTGATAACTAAGGCACTGCGTAAGCGGGGAACGAAGTTCTTGCTGCAGGAATGCTGCTGACAGGGCAGGACATCTGCTCCGGTGCCAGCAGAAAATCTGCTTGCAATTCCTGGCAGATTTTTCCCAAATTACTTTCTGGCCTCGTTAGCAGCGTGATGTGCACAGCTGATGCCGGAGAGGGGTGTGAGCGCAGCCGCGGGCAGGTCCCGGCGGTGCGGAGGGCAGGGCTGGGGCTGCCGGCGCTGCAGAGGCTGAAATCAGAGCCCGTGGCTCCCCACCTCCACCAGCCCGGCCAGGGGTTGCGGTCCCGAGGGACGGGGGCTGCTCCTGCCACCGCACACGGAAACTGGTGTGACTGGAGGGCGGCTTGGCCCGGCCTGATCACCAACAGCGCGGCAGCCGGGGAGCCGGGCGGCTTCGGCAGACGCCTGCGGGGCAGCACCGCCGTTTCAGGAGGGTTTGCTGTTTCTGGAGAACAGCCGTGCCAGAGCCAGCAGAAACTCCCCCCCCACCCCCCCCAGCAACCAGCCCGGCTCCTGCGTGGCTCTGCGGCAGAGGAAGTGCGCGGGCGGCTGAGACCTTTCATCTCATCACACGCGCGGGGGCTGCCACGAGGCGGAAGCCGCCCAGCACCAGGCTGTGGGGGTGGCAGGACACCCTCCTGCACCCCCAGCCTGCACCCCCAGCCTGGGGAGGGGGGGGTGCTGCCCCCAAATAGCTGTTTCAAGCCCTCGCCCCGGCGCGGAGGCAGCAGCCACGCTCCCGCTGCAGCGGACGGGCAGCAAAGGGCGAGGGAGCGCAGGGCGCGAGGGCAGCCGTGCCAGGAGCCACCCGTGGGTGGGGAAGGGTGCAGCTCCCCGGTCAACTCCTCCGGGTAAAGCACGAGCTGCAGCTGGGTCCCAGTCCGGGGACCTCCGCGGCGAGCCCTGTGTCCCCGCGTCTCCACCTCGGCCGACGTTCGCCCAAAAGCATCTCTCAGCGGCCGGGGGCTCGTCCCCCAGCGCCCACCCGCTCCCCGGGAGCCCTTCCAGGCCGCTCCCCCGCCGCTGCCCGCCCACGGCCACGCTCCAGCCCCAGCCCCGGCCCGTGCCGCGCTGCCCACCCCCTGTGCCCACGATCGCGGCGGCGCGCAGAAAGAGCCGGAGCGAAACGGCCGTCGTGTTCGCTGGGGAGACACGGCAGCAGAGCCAGGGACCGGGCTGGCTCCTGCGGGAAGCCGCATCCTTTTGCTCTGCCAGCAACACCGCGTAGGCGACGAGCTCTCTGCACGTGTGCCGGGACGAGCAGGGAGGTCCTACACATCCCCTGTGCCTGTCCCCCTCCATCGCCCCTGCCTGACACAAGCCCCCACACCTGCACTGGTTCTGCCAGCGTTTTCTGTCTTAGATCCCTTACAGGAGCCTCCCATCTTCTCCACAGGAGCTGCCAGAAATGGGATTCGAGAGGGAGACAAGGAGGAGAGGGAGCGCGTGGCTCTCAGGACAGGGCCGTACCTTGGGCTGGTGCTCAATCTTGTAGGAGGTTTGCTGGAACTGGCGGATCTCTCTTATGATGTGCGAGATCTGTCCGGAGATAAAACACCGAAGCTGTTCACGGCACGGCCATCGCCGCCGGCACCGCGTCCCAGCACCGGGGAGGTGACGGGCCAGTGGACCCTGCTCCACCCGCACCCTTTGGCCCTTCCGCGTGCAAACGGCTTTTTTTGTTTCTTCCAGGCGCATCCCTCAGCGGGGCCAGCCCCTGCACAGGGGCCAGCCGGGCACGGGGGCTGCGCGGGGTGCGCACAGACCTGGCCGGCAGCGGGGCTGGGACACTCACCATCCTCATCTTGGAGAAGTTCACCAGGCCGTCCTCGGTGTAATTGGGGGTCCCCTCCTCGATGAATGCCAGGTCGGTCAGGTACATTCCCAGGTAGGGGACGCACGGAGGGTCACAACTTTGGGAGCAAACCAGAAACGGGTAAGAAAGAAAATTGCCTTCCTCGGGGGCTTTGGAGCGAGGAGGTGGGTGGGACTCCACAGTTAGCAGGATGGGAAGGAATCTCTCTCATGCACAGAAACCCCCGGAGGAAGCCTCTCCCCGGGAAGGCTGCTGGTCCCCGGGGCCGCATCCTGCAGCCGCCGTCCCCACGGGCAGCGCAGGACAAGCACGAGCTGCGGCCGCGCCCCACGTGAAGCCACGGGTGCAGGAGGAAGGGGGGGCGGCTTCGGCAGAGGGTTGGAAAGATATTTTGAAGCTTCCCCTGCCAGCCCTGGGCCCCCCCCCCCAGCCAAAGAAACCCCCGCCCAGAGCCAAGGGCAGTGCAGGTGCTGGGCTTGCCCCCCCGCCCTTCGCCCCACACCCCACCCTGTCCCCCACGGAGGGTCACCGTGCGCTGCCGATGGGACACGGCCCGGGGGTGCCTGCTGCTCACGGGGACACACAAACCCCCAGGGAGGCACCGGCTCCCACGGCAGCTCAGCACCCTGCTCCCCACGCACCCACAGCACCCGGCTCCGTGGCAGCTCAGCACCCCGCTCCCCACGCACCCACAGCACCCGGCTCCCACGGCAGCTCAGCACCCCGCTCCCCACGCACCCACAGCACCCGGCTCCCACGGCAGCTCAGCACCCCGCTCCCCACGCACCCACAGCACCCGGCTCCCCGGCTTGCAGGGCCGAGCAGACACCAGGTTAGGACGGTTTGGGGGACCCCGAGTGCTGGCAGAGGAGCCCGATGCCGTCTCCAGTGGGTGCGGGGTGGGCGCGATGCCCAGGAGCCACCCCACGTCCACGCTAGCCGGAGTGACGTGCACTGGCTGGTGGGAAGCAGTAGCTAAATATAGTGAGTGCACTTAGGGGTTTAAACTACGGGTCTGTAAGGGGAGGGAGGAGGGGAAAAAAGGTTTCCTGGTGCCTGGCAATGATTTCCCCCTCTGCAATCCCTTTTACTGACGCCGCTCCACGCCGCTGCTCCAGGGAGCAGCTCGTTACCCAGGGCGGCTTTGCAAACCGCTGCACTTCAGCGCAGGCTCTGAAACCCCCTGGTGAGCAAAGCCCCAGCCCGCAGAGCAGGAGCCGGGGGGGGACCCAGGACCCCCAGCACCGTGGGCTGGCCATCAGCACCCCCCCCCCCGCCAGCCGCAGGGGGAGAATCGTCGCTCACTCACTTTTTCAGGGCCTCCCTCAGGTTCTTGAACCTGCCCTCCGACGACACCAGCTTTTGCAGCTTATCGATCAGAGCCTTCGTCTGCAAGAAACCCAAAGTGTCTCTTGGAGAAGGCCCTGGAAGAAACGCCGTGCATCACCCCCGTCCGGCTGCTCAGCACCCCTGCGGGTACAAATCCTGCCCTGGCCGTCACACCCGGCTCCTGGGGACATCCGCTGGAGCTGAGCAAGCACTTGAAAGCAAAGTTCCTCCAACACACGACAAGACAGGCTATGCGTTTGTCTCCTTCCCCTGTCTCTCACCTTCGCCAGTGCCTGTTTTAATTTACAGGTTTATCACTTGGCAGGAAAAAAGA